AGATACTCGTTCATGGGATCTGTGGCGCACAAACACTCGTCGTGTAGAGCCAAAGATTTGAAATTTTAATTCGTCGGTCCATAATACACTTTTACACTGTTCCACTGTCCAATGTTCATGCTGTTTTGCCCATTCCAGACGTTTTTTCTCATGTATTGCCCGTAATAATGGTTTTTTTTACTGCTACACAATCACGCAGCCCAGCAGATGAAAGACGATTCTTCACTGTAGAAACTGAAACTTTATTGGATCGCGTTTTATTCAACTCCCGAGTGATATCCGATTACGTTTTGAAGTCGTATTTATGAACCTGTCCTCTGCTGCAGAAGTAGTCTTTGGTCTTCCGCTCCGTTTTCGATCCGATAAACTGCCAGTTTCCCGGTGTCTAGCAAGTGAGTAATGAACTCCCTTAGGCGATATACCGAGTTTTTTTGCAATATCTCTTTCAGAATACCCTTCACTTTTTAAAACAATAATAACCGATCGTGTTTCAATAAGTAACTGTCATCCTTTGCCCATTTTTCTCCACAAAATAAGGAAATTACTATTTTTTTTTAAGTTGTAGTTGTACAGAAAAAAAATACAATTTGACGGTGTGCAAATAAGGAATCACTATTTTTAACAGAGATGACAGTCTAACTACCTACAATAAGCTATGACATGTGAAAAATGGTTATAGGGTACTCAGCAAATTAAATAAAGTAATAGGGAAAAATCCACATCAATAGGTTATTGTCATTTTTATCAATATCTCTAAGAAAAGACCACAACGATTAATCCTAATACAGTAAAATTATTTGTAATTATAGTATATTAAACTACGAAAAAGATGAAATTAGCTTATGTCGATTTACTATCTGTTATAACAAAAATTAGAGGTGCTTCCAAACTTTTTGTCGGTAATGTATTTTTTTTTTCCGGCAAATTTTTTAAATATCCTTTTTAACTCGTCGAGTACCGGTTTTGCAGACACAATTATAGAACAATAGGTTGCGGTTACCGGTGACCGCTTGGTATTTGACAGTTTAATATAGTTTGGTATCTTATATGTCATAACGTTTTGCATGCAATAGTTTCAGAGACAGACAGCGTCAGTAGTCAGTCGCTGTGTGGGTCCGTGTCTTCGTTAACGACGCTCACGGCGCCGGTCCATGTTGAGGCAGAGGAACTGCGGAGACAACAATTAGAGATAGAAAGAGAGGTAAACTGATAGCATGTATCACATTTGTGCTATAATGAACAATATAAGCATGTTTGTAACCACGCTGAATACGTTTTCAGATAAAGGCTTTAGAACAACAACAATGTCGATTGCTGGTTGTAAGGGAGATTCCGGACAAGCCGCCACCGCCTTACACTCCGCCTACAGAAACTCGTGCCCCAAAACCACCGCGCATGTTCACTCCGGACGAAAATTTGGAAGAAAAAGTAGAAAGGCACATTACGGACCCAGAAGGCAGTATGTCTGACCCATCAGAGGCCTTCAACGTATTTGTGCATAATTTTTGTCAGGAATCTTTAGAAAGGCATAAACACGAGCAAAGTGATAAGCCTTGGGACGCATGTAATCTATTGCCGCAGAAGCCGCCGGTGGAAATTCAGGAATTAGTAGAGAAAACCACTACAGAACTGAAGGACGTGCTCACTAGCGTCCCGCCCACTACCGTGTCTGGTGAGTTTCTTTTTTTAGTTGACTTGCTAATTAAAGTATAGTAAAAGCACTTTCCCTCATTTACCTGTATGTTATTAGTCTGATAAGTCTGATTGCAATATTAGACAAGCCTAATGATATTGTAGGACACATTTCCCTAGCTGTAATCCAACGTTTTTTCAAACTGAGGTCGTGGAGGTTTCTTACAAGGCCAGGGGTCGAAGTCGCGAGTGGTTGAAAGAATCCAGAACAAAAAACAATGAGGTATAATAAGATTGCAGGTTTAAGATCTAGTTATTTATTAACAAATTTTAATAAAACCATAATTACTCCACAACAAATAATATCCTGTATCCTACTTGTCACTTACGAAATGCGAAACCTATGTTTGTGGCTAATGAACACTTTGAAAATCAATTTATTTTCCAAAGGATGACGGGCAAAATGTACCTGGCGACCAATAACGACCAGACATATGTCGTTAGAAAGCTCTTTTAGTGACTATGATTTGTTATTCCGTAATAATAAAGTCTAGTCTGAATTCGTAGTGGAAAACGTTATAGTTACTTAAATCCGGAGTTTCCGCGTAATTTTTTGAAACAAGAAGGCGAATACAGTATAATGGCCGCACTTACATCATGCGCTACAGGACTTCTCTATATTTGTATCGTGTATACAATTATAAGTTTAAAATCACCAACCCACATTGAGCAAGCATTCGGTGTTTAAAACTGTGAAATGTTAGATAATTGTGGCGGTGGCAAAATTTGACATCCTAGTGGTAGAAGTTAAGGTTGAGAATCACCGCTTAATTTATTGAAATTAGTCGTAAATAATACCAATTATTGGGTACCAATAAACCTATTAGGCAGCACTTCTCATGTGAATATATTCGAAACAAGTTGTGTACGACAAGTTAATTTTATTACAGTACAATTTCATTCAAAGGTTTTGTTTGTGCGTTCAGGTGTTTCGAGTCGGCGGTCTGACCACATCGACGACATACTCTTCGCCGAGTGGCGGCGCTGCGAGCCCGAGTGGACGGCGCTGCATGCTGACGAGGCTATAGTTAAGAACCAGATCTTTGAAAGCATCTTCCAGAAAATTCTTACCGATACAATCGATGAGTATAAGAAAACCGTACAGTGCGAGGTAGTCGCAACTGACTAAGACTAAAGATTCTTGCTAAGGTTCGCTCTAACCAACCATGTGTCGAACCGTGCTGCAGACACAGTTTCCACTCCAACAACATATTTTTATGTAAATATATTTACTCCTAGCGCAATTACTCGTGTTGTGTAGAAATAATGGATACCTAGTTTTCTATTTGGGTATATTGTACGTATAGTGGTATTCTATTTATTGAAATGGTATAAAACTTTACTAGACAAGATTTTAAAAGGGAAAAAATAATGTCTTATTTCTGTAATTCATTCTTTATTGCAGACAAATGTTTAGTGACTTTTTAATGTCTTTGTCAAAATATACAATTTTAGAAGTTCTTTTTTAATTTCCAGACTAGGGCATACAATAGTATCAAGCTCGTATATTCCAAGTAATATAGATTAAGATAACAAAGGAATAAATACGTGAAATCTTTCCAACAACATTATTATAATATTATTATGTATTTAAATAGAGCATATTTGGTATAGCTTGAAAAATTGTACCTTTGTTGTTGTTATATTATGTGTATAGAATATTATATAACTCTTCCAAACATCAACTGTTATTTTATTGTAATGTGCAGATCCTATAATTTAATATACTCGGAACAACAAAAAAGGCATCTCTAACACCCAAATTCTACCCGAGCGTACGGCGCATCGCGTTACGCGCCCGTCTCTAAGAGTCATCAGACCACCACGGATGGGGGAGGAGATACCTCATCATTTGTCAGAGTACCTAAATCTTGTGTTCTTCAGAGACACTCGTCTCTTGAAATTACAATCAATTTATTATAAATGCGGTAGAAATGAGCTGAGGCTACACAAGTCACTAAAATAAGATCGAGTAAAACAAATCGAGTAGAGCCTAAAATACTAGGTACCATGGAGCATGCCATAACCAGTATTTCAGAAGAATAGTCTCAGAGATGTTTTCATAATTAGGTCAAGTTCTAGGCCATATCGACACATTAATAGCAACGGTGCCTACTAACTAGTCATAGACTGCTGATTTTCACGTTTGTCAATAAAATATTTGTTGGCAAGAAAACTGCTTCGGGAAGCATTATCCCCTTTTGGAAGCAAATTTGGCTGTCTGACTCCAAGACTATTCTCCCTGTTATTCCTAGCACTCTTCGCGCCACCATAACTGAGATCCCCAAGGCAGACAAAGTCCGAAGAAAGAAATCGCCGTGATTCATGACCCCTCCCCCTACTCATCGACATTAAATTCAAGATTTTCAATCATGATCGAGATCTCCGTAATCACCAGATGAATATGTGTTGTGTTCCATCAAAATGCTCGGTTCTGCCTTTTAGAGAGTATGGCTCATACTGAAACTGTCGAAAGGCTGTTACATCCCTTGGATACGAACATCCGTATCAATAGGTAACAGTATCAATGCAGTTCACTACTTTGATACTAAGAATCGTAGACTCTTGTTTCTCTCAGAAACAAGCAGACGTACTGTCGTATCTCACTTAAATTACCCTGGGTTTATTTTTATTTTAGGCGATGATCGCCGCTTTTCTTACAGGATCAGCAACGTACTTTTTGCTGCACATTAATCACCCTGCTTGCTCGATATCTTTGAGTATGCAAAAGAACGCATAATTGTCTCTAAGAGAGTCACACAGAACATAGGCGAAAAGTTACACGCTTGTCGTTGCTTTATCTGTGAGTGTGCGTGGAAACTTCGAACCTTAATTCCTCATAGTCGTTTCATTATCGCACTACCATACAAATGGTGGTAGATACTTTACCAATTCTGTGTCTCCCAAAGGTAAAATTTTGGCAAACAACCCGATATTAAATATTTAAAAACAACACACCCTTTCTGCAGTCGGATAAAAACGCTTTGAAGTTATTATAAGTATAAAAACTACAAGAAAATATTAAATTATTTTATTTAGCAATAGTAATGACGAAATATCACATAGTCCTTACAATTGACAATGACTAATTAAACTATACATACACAGTTTAAATACGAGCTTAATGTAAAAAATAAATGTTGATATGTAACACATAAATACTTTCAGGGACAGAGCAAAATGAAGGTGGTTTTAGAGTTTGTATTCATTAAGTAATAATCTTTAGTCCACAGTTATAAGTTATAAGCATCAATGACGACAATTATTACATATAGCATTGGACTAGGTAGGTACTTGAATACTAGTCATTTTTGTGCCAGGAGATGTATTACATTTTAAATATATATTGTAGCAGCACATGAAATGTTATATAGTAAATTGTTTATGTACAGTACATAATACAGAGTAATACGATAACAATATGCATACAAAAATCAGAAAATAATGTTTACACTCTGTTAGGTACTAGGCAGAGTAAGTAGTTCTAAAGGAATTACATAAATACACGACTAGTGAAAGTCAGAATTTTTGTATCAACTTCAATAAATTACGACAATAACTACTTATAAACTAATTACAAATTATGTTTGAGAATCTTTCAGAAACTCTTATTAATAATTAAATATTAGGGCGTAGGACATTTATGGCATAACAGTAAAAGCGCACAAGCTAGAAAGGCCACATTCGTTAGTGGTCTGAAATACTTCGAATGAAAACCATCATTCAGTCTGTAGATAGGACATTTTGATGAAAACCATCTTTGAAAAGATCGGCAAATCCCTTACTTGGCCATAGTCTGTTCGTAGACATGAACACTTCACTGCACAGTTTTCTTACCACTAACACTGGCACGAATACCTGTCACCGTCCTTTAAACACAGTCCACATGAACACGCGATGGATCAATCATCAGCTTTCAGAAATGATTCCAGTGGATTCGGACCTTTTCTTCTAGGATTAGATGGGGCTTTGGCAGCTTCAGCTAGGCAAAAAAAAACAATGTTTAAAGTTAGTAGGTATTTAATCCGGAACTCGTTTATTGTGCTAGGTAGGTACGCTTTGTAAGAGGAAATATTCTGAATGCTACTGGCTAACATAATAGGGACCTATGTCTGCAAGTCTTAGCAAATTAACTTGATTTATTTTTCTGTATAAAAAAACCTTAAACTTACTCGTTTGGGTCTGTGACCCTTGTGTGACTTCCAAACACGCCATCCATTCTGTAATACTGATCTTGGTGTCGTGGTTAACGTCGCAGTACCTAGGCAGCTTTCGACCACATCGCCTCAGAGGCTCGACGTTGGATATCAGCTGATGGAACGCCTTCCACTCCCGTCGCTCCAATGCTTTGTTCTTATCCTTGTCTAACATTACATAAGTCCAAGTAGCTGCTTGCTCCTCTTTGGATGCTCCCCATTTTACCATATCTCTACAAATCAAGGAAAAAAATTAATACCTACCGCATTCACTTTCGTTCATTGACCTTTTCAACGCTAGCTCAACTTAATTATTATTAAACCTAAAAATACTTTTTGAATTATACGTAAGTCCAAAACTTATGTCACTTTAAATTCGACCTTCGGTAATTCGAATATAATATCAATTAAGGACTTGATTTAATCTTATTATATGCTCTACGTACCCAGGGCCAGTACCGTTGATAGAAGTCGTCATTTTGGACACGAAGAAGCTCATCAGGTCCCGTAAGAAATTGCTCTTCATTGGCTCTGGACAACCTAGATTGCAGGAATTTTAATAGTTAATTTACATAGTGACATTCCAAAGGTTTTGATAGCAACACAAGTAATAATCCGAGTGTTTCATCCTATATCTAACGCAACGGTACCTTTCTACAATCAAAAGGTAATCAATATATGAGTTTTGGCTTGGATCTTAAGAAAATAATAATTATTTTCTCTAACTTAGTAGAGCTCCTTACAATTATTTACTAACGGCAAAATTACCTACCACAATCCTAAATCTGTGCTTAAGGATTGATTTTTGACATAGGTTGTATTGAGTTTCTTTCACAAATCGAACTTAATCTTCAGATCAATGGATAGAGATAGTTATGTTGGCCGTTAATGTGATACGTATTCAATACATATGAACCAAACTCGCCTGATAAGATCGTACCTCTCATCGGACTGGCGTGCTGTGGTGCCGCGTCGCAGTCAGGTCGGCGATCCTTGACGGAGGAGCCCGGGATTGGTTTCCCTGTGTCTTGGTGCACGCACCAGCAGTAGCCAGTTGACCTGTAGCACTGTGCGCGAGCGTACCTTCCATCGCCCGTACACTCGGGCACGTACAGTGCAGCTCCACCAGCTTTCTAGTGTACAAAGTATATTTTTCTTACACTAACACAAAAATTTTTGCATGTCTTAGAGACTAAGATTAAATGGAAGGGACGCAATGGAAAACGTATCCAAGCATTTCTTTGAATAGTCTCATTTTCGCGTTTATCACCCTAGATTCTAGAAAGTCTCGTGGGAAAATGGTGGGTCATGGGAACCTTGAAAATTTGAGCCAGAAAGGGATTTTGTGCGTCAGTGAACTTTAAAGTCGTCAACAGCTTATCAGATTGACGTGATTTATGTTTTATTTGTAACTGATTTGGGGAAGAATACATGCGAGTAAATGTTTTAAACAAATTAAATGTAGGTAGATAATACTTAGATGACGCTTACATTATAACCATTAAATTCTTTCAAAAGTTTGTAATCCATTGAAATCCAACTATAGATATAATATATTTAAGGTGTCAAGCCAACATTATCGTTAACTATACATTCCAGTATACGTAAGTACGTACATTCATTATAAAGAATTCAATAAATTAGCTGTGTTATTACTATTAACGTTCAACATAGGTATTACAACTTGGTTTTCAATTATTATAGCATCGTGCTATAGTAAATTATTAACTACCAACCTACAACCCATAGGCTATAATAATTTCATTTATATGTGTACCTAATGTAGGTACTTGTGTAAATTATTAATGTCTTTCGTACAGTTAAATGGACTTGAATTAAATGTGAGTGAAAGTTTCTTTATACTTAATATTTGTTCGCCAATCACGCTGAAACTACTAAACGGATTTTGATGTAATTTAGTACTTATACAGGCAGGGTATGGCTTAGGTGATAGGATACTTTTATCCCGATAGACAAAACAGGAATACGCGGTCAAAGCCGCGGTTTACAAGTAGCCACCAAAATGTTGTACCTAATTCGTTTTAATTAAAGAAATGTACAAAAGTAGTGGTAATTTCAAACCTGTTCGTCCAAAACAGCTTGCCTGTCTGTCAGGCAGTCGTTAGCCTCATCTTCCCGCCTCGCTTCAGACTCGGATCCATCAGGCGCGAACGAGTTCCGCACAATCCCAGGTAAAACTGCAGAAATAAAATAAACTACTTAGGGTTTAGTTTCTAGTTTGGTAACGAATCGTTAGGATAATTTAGTTTTATATGGTTTCTATATTCTTTTTTCAATTTTGTATATACACACAATTATATAAGAGTTCAACCAATCATTCATTTAAGTAATCTCATGCACGGGAACAGGAGTAATAAAGCCGGGGCAGAGAATATTATAACCTAAGATGAGAGAGTGACGGTAGTTAATGGAATACCTACCTGAGCTGGGATCTGGTGGCGGTTCCTCCTCGTAATCAGCAGGCTCGGGTTCCGGACCGCTGTCATCGTCTGCATTCAACGACATGAAGAAACGGAGAGAGACTATATATTATTATTATGTTTGCACACGCATTTGCAATGTTATTTTGCAACAGCTATGAATTGTCAGTTTTAGAGTTGACTGAAGTGCGAACACCTATGCGTTTTTACAATGCGAAAGAAAATAAGTCCTAGGTATTGAAGACTATAAAAGCATGCAAAGCGTTTGTTAATTAGATACTCGTCCACTATCCTAATTTAAAACCAGTAGTAGGTAATAACATTTAAAATCAGAAAGTTGAAAGACGCTCAGAACCCGGCTGACCTGGCGCCATGCAAGAACCGTAAAACAAAAAGTCAACAACATGAAACCGTTAAAGTCTATAAACTGTCTGCAGTATTATTTTATTGTGCTTAATATTCAGAACCTATTTAGTCTTAATTTACAGCCTTGGGCGAACATTTAGTTCTCATTTAAGAGCTCAGCCACAACATGGGCGAATAAACGATAAATCTCCTGTCCACACAATATAAAGGTACTTTATTAACGATGCACCTTTTAAGAATAAATAAATATGGAATTTCGCATCATATTTAGATGTGGGAGGAAAAAGATACAGAAAACAGTGAATTTAATTATACATCTGTCTCAATGCAATTATAGTAGTTACATAACATAAAACACTCCTTTTATCCCCGATGGGGGCAGAGGTGCAAATTACAGCACTTAATGCCACTGTACAATGTAACACACACTTTTCGCTACATATTATGTTATAAGTCCCATGTGAGAGGTGAATCTATTGCCATATACTGGGCACAATTCCAGATTCCGTGCTACTGTTGAGAATTGTTTAAGAAACCCAACAATACTTTGCCCGACCAGGAAATCGAACCCAAGCCACTATGCCCGCCAGTCGGACTTGCGATCAATCGACCCACGAGGCAGTATTTTATAGTAATTCTTGATCTAGAACCTAAAGTCACCCTTATTTAGATGGTTTCTTAGCACACGCATAATTAGTACACTACACTATCGAGTCAATCAGACGCGTTAACCCACATTCGTAAAAAAGTAGTCTAATATTAATTTCTATTCAGTTGCATTGATTAATTACTTACTAAATTACATACTAACCAGTCTTATTTTTAAAAGCTGGAGTCATCTAAATACTATTCCAAGCATGTATTAATTAATTACAAAGTTATTATTACAACCAGATAAATGGTCTACTTGAATTAGAAATGTAATCTTTGCAGCTGGAATTCCACATCATTAAATGTTATAGATACCTAAGTAGGTATTATGGATTATTTAATAATACCTAACGATTTTCTTTAAACGTTCTGTAGTTAGGTGCTTATCTACTTATGTTTATTTATATGCAATGGTATGTACCGGCAATCTGTTACCCATGCCTACATGAGCATAAGTTATTTTATTTCCATTGAGGTTATTAGATTCTGCATTTTATTGTCTACAGATGAGTTGTATTTGTACTAGGTACCTATGTTCATATACTTTGCTACCTACTAAACCTTCCTTTACATTCGATTTTTATTAGTAAAGTGAAATACCTTACTAAGTAGCTAACTAAAACCGAAAGACATGACATGGGTCATGTCATCGATGTATACCTACTTATTATAACTTAACAGATAAGGTATTGCTTATGTTAAAACGAGTTAATTATTCAAACCAACAGAATGTATCACAACGTCAACGTTAACGTCACAAACGGTAAAAAACTTACTTTCGTAGGAATCGTAGGTCTTCGTTTAATGTCCACGTAGATTAGATACGTTTCTAGCTGTTGTCCTATTATAACATAGTCATAAAGGTACTCACAGTCCGGTGCAGGCGGCTCCGGGTTGACCAGCAAACACGCTACCCACTCAGCATGAGCTATCTCTCCGTCTCCATCACCATCACAGCCGCGCGCCCATGCCCGTGCGCACCGCTTGGGTTTCACCACCTTTAAAGAAGAGAAGTTACGTTACATTAAGATTCCAAGGTACAGAATACAAGTATGCCTCGTTTGAAGCCACTACCAACTGACACAAAAATTGATTTGAGGTTGCGGCATAACCAATACGTACAAGTCATAGTCAACCTTTCTGGCAAAAGTTTAGTATTACAGAGGTGATGAAATTAATCAGACAATTTTGAGGAATTAATTATTACTTAAAACCGACTGCCTCGTTGGCCGAATGGTCGCAAGTGCGACTGCCGGGCAAGGGGTCAAAGTAAAGTAATTCTGGATTTTTTTAAATTCTCTGTAGTAGTAAGGAGTCTGAAATTTTGCCCGGTATATGGCAATAGGTTATCATAACACAAATAGTGAAAAGTGGGTGTTACATTATACAGTGGCAAAATGGGTGCCTACCCCTTCGGGGATAAAATGCGTGATGTTATGTTATATAATTATTTAAATATCTTTACAAACGTAACTCTAATTACTGAGCTGACGTTTTCGGAGATCGCAAACCCTGGTGTGCGATCTCCGATTAGGCCTGCCTAAGTAGGCCTAAGTAGGCTATAGGGTAAGTACCCTATGTCAGAAAAAACAGCATACACACCAACATGGAGAAACCAGCGGAAAATAGTTTATAGAAAACGTGACTGTTTGAAATATTTGCGGTAGAAAAGTACCTATCTAATAGTCATGTAGTAAATAATACGTCATTGTATGATGAGTCAACAGTCGTGTATGTCGGAGTGGCGAGTCCGGCGAGATTGGATCGTTGCGCCCAGACGTCACGGACATGGACGATTCGCCTGACCCTCCGTAGTTCATGGCTCAAGTAGCGGATGTAGGACAATCGTGAACTAAACAACAATTTCAGAGGTAATCCTGTATCGAAATACTCAATACTAAACATGCCTATCTTAGTCAAGACGTACCTAAACGTTTCTCTGTTCTCTTACGGCTGAAATTATTAACCGATCCTAAAATGTCGGCAACTCCGAGAGATTTTACTGCAGTAAATATAGGAATAGTCGCGGTAAGCCCAGAAGAAGATGGTGGGATGAACTTGCCGCCTACGAAAAGGATTGGCCACAGAAAACTATCAGAAGAGATGAGTGGAACTAAAATAAATAAATATACGAATAACTAAAGCAATACGCTAATACAAAGTACCTGGATCGATCTAAGTTTTTGGCGGACAATCAATAGAAAGGTCTTAAGTCGATTAATCGATTTAATTTCTCGTCTTGCGATAAGTTTCAGTTAAAATCACTACTGATTACGTAATATGCCTTATTGCCTATCTAAGATTACTATGAGAATTGCTAATCTCCACAATCTTGTGTCCTATTATTGAGAGGGCTTATCTACATAACAGCTTACGACATTTAGGAACAGAACTTTGGGGTCAAACACGAGGAGAATCTAGCCGTGTGCGTAGGACTTGTATCAAAGGTCTTTCAATTCCTAGATTTAAGGAAGATATTATTGAATGTTTCAGTCATAGTGATGGGTATTTTAAGGTAAAAATTGAATAATTAAAAATTAATTTTGTTTATCCGGCGGGGTAGTTTAGTTTTTCTGAAGTCTTCTCTTATCACCTGTACCTCTATATACAGCTAAACGAAACTAAAATTGATTTAGAACATAATAGATTTATTTTTTAAAGAAGGAGAATGATGTTAGAATACCATCATCTATCGACCATTACAGAAAATACCATTTTATTTGTAAGAACATAGTAGTTGGCAAAAGTTGTTATGAAAATTAAAAACATTTAAGTAAGTGTATTCCATTGTCTTTTCCACATCTTATTACACAACACTAAAGAATAGAATAATTGGTAAGCAGGCACGTATCTGAGATCTGTAAATGTTCATGGAAGCTCCATTCAAAGTCACGTATTACAGGGTTATAGTTCACGACTCCTGAACCCAATGACATGTAATGAAATGCGATTTAATAATTCACACGCACACTTTGATGAATTTAAGTGTTTTGCGCGTAATCTTGATTTACTCATCCTCTTTATTGAAGTACTAAATGACTTTTGGTGGCAGTTTGAGTATCAAAATAATTGCTTTTTGGTTTTATAAAGGAGAAAGAGATGTGATTTGTTTGGCTAAATTTAACTAAATTATGTTAATACCCTTGGTCTTTCTATACACGTAAACAACAATAACAACAACAACAGGTAGTATAACACATACTTTCTAAGTCCTGCTTAATTATAGTGTACCTATGTGCCAAGAAAAAAAATATTGCATTTCACCTACCTATCTAATATGTACGATATAATTGCAATTGTTTCAATAATGAGCGTCTCTCGCCATCACACGTCAAAGTTTGGCCAGATTAGATTTAAGGCCACACCTATGTAAAATATCAATGAATAGTAAAAAATAAAACCAGAAATCTATCAGTAACTATATGTATTTCATTATAAAACACTATTAGGAAAGTTAATCTAGTCTTTTGAAGTCTAAACGCTGGCAGTACGTTAAAAATTCAATGACTAAACCTCCTTCCCGGAAATCTGACCATCTGTTCACATTGAATTTCATGCAAAATGAGTATTATGAGCATATGAGTGTATGGTCGACTTTGGACCGTAGACAGAACATGACGTACCTTTTTGATAAGTCTTCTGAGTCCTCTATACTCGGACTTTTGCAAAGCATCGCTACGGTCTCTATCCAGCTCCCTGAACTTCCAGTCGGCTACAACCCTCGGTTCTGGTGATGATCCAGAATCAGTTCGAGCCCTTTCGAACTCGCCGCTAAAGATTTTGATGAGATTCCCATTGAACTGGGCCCGGTCGGTCCTTGTGCACGCTGTAGAGTAATAAAGATAAAACTTATCTCAAAGTCTGGGTAACAAATTATCTGTGAGTGGTTTTTTACATTTATGAAAATAGCGTAACAGTAACACTGAGTACATCTAGTTTTTTCATGCCTCTCGGTGTTCATTTGGATATATTATACAAGTTAATAAATATTTCTTGCCAATTAAAAAGTGATGGGCTCTTTACAACGCATACATAAAAGATCTGATCACATTTATATGTGACATCATCAGGTTTACGAGTCCTGTGTTTACCGGACTTTAATTATTAACATCAATCTTTGGTCTTACTTCTTTTATTGCGTTGGCCGCGAACCGAGGACCGCCTCCTCGTGTGTGATTTACCTGAAAATAAAAACAGATTGATATCGGTCTAACTGCAGAACCCTTGTAAGTAGGTATTATTAAGACGGCCAGTGGGTCAGACGTTGAATATTTTATGTAGGGATCGTTATAATCGTATTCCTAACAGGCTGCTCCACTAAACGGGTTTACTCAAACTGTACCTATACCCAATAGCCAATAAGGTGAAGGTATATTCTGTTGTTCCCTGGAGATATTTCGCTAATTCGAAAGTTAAGGTGTCGGTAATAAAATGACTATTTATTTACCAAAATTTATCGGCAATAAATTTTATACCGCTGTTATCGGATAGAATATTTGCTAACTGGCAATAGGTATACAGAAATGAACAATTGATTTGATCCTATAGTCACGAGGGGTCAAAGGCCTTGCGAGTCTCAAGAAGATATCATTGCAAGCAGGAAGCAATTGGCGTAATCACAAACACCATTATTTATATTTGCTGATACCTAGATTTACGTGTGGTTTCGTTTAAATTCGCCTTAGGATTTGAATTCATCAGTTACTGTAATTACAAGTCGCTTTGCCATTTTAATTAAGTAATGGAAGTTGATAATAAATTGCCTGTCGCGTAAAATCCTACATGGCGGCGATTTAATTCAATAACTACCCAATTTTGATCAATTAAGTTTCCTTATGATTACTTATATTGAATTGCAATTGCTATTCAAATAATTATAGGTGATGTAAATTGGTGACAAGTGTAATTACGGGATTTGTTAGTGCTCTCTATTAAATATCCACCTTAATGAGGCACAAGTCTATAAAGGTGTGACTTTTCTAGCATCAAGAAAATGTTATCGATCGTATGTGGTTGGTTATTTATTTTTATGCATTGGTTAGTTGTGAGTGCGGTGGTATGGTGATCGCGGCCGTAGTCGAACCGGTCCCGGTAGCGGCGGATCGCAGTGCATCACTAAAACATTCATATAACCGGTAAACTTACAATCCAATGTGCTATAAAATCTTCATTTAACAAACACTTTTTTTCAATAGAGCAATAAACGACATAAGACGTAACTAGACACCTTAATTTAGAAGGCGTTGAGAGTGCGGAATGATTGCCACAGTCGTCGCTATTTTTCTCGCATTTGACGATTAAACATTATGATGAATTTTTCGGTACTAGGATGGCTAATGATCACAATTAAAATGATACCTATATCACTAAACAAACACCTGGAGCTTCATACCTTCTAGGCTCTGATGTCCAGTCCCTAATTTAGAATCTTTAAGTACAGTCATTGTCATATAACCATTGTTTATCATTGTACGGATCTCTTGGTCCTGTCTCTACGACCCTCGAGTAATCCGTATTTAGCACCGTGGGCTTCATCTATTAGACGTATTATGAACTAGTAAATAGTACCTATTATCGTTTTGTTTGAACTAAGTCGGTCATAGCAGGGCTTTACCCCGTGTTACGATCGTATGATGCATGAACGTAAAGGATTTACATAATAATGTAAACGATATTACATATTATATACCTATTGTTTTTTGAGGTATTGTGCGTGAGACTTATTTACTAGATCTTTCAAGAGAACAGACAAGAAGCTGGTCATTATTGCCTGTACTGTAAGAACTTAGTTACATAGCAAGCGAATGCTGTTCATTTCATAAACAATTAATTCTTCTGTCTCTAAGACAGGCACTAAGATATGATTGTGTTAACGTTGTGTTATTTATACCATTGGTATAGTCTTTCTAGCGATTCTTTTTTTACAATAATACCAAAATTTTCTATAATACATACTTAGATAAAATTTTGAATAAGTAGGTGTTAAATACATGTATTATTTTCTTATTCTCTCAAGTCTCAACTACAGGACCCAAAAAACATTCCTGTAATACATATTTACCGGCCTATCTGGAAGTTATTGGGGTAGGCCTATGTTCAGCAGTGGACGTCCTGTGGCTGATATGATAATGATGATGATGATGATGTTTAAGAACCAGCGCCTCGAGTATTTACTTAGATCTCCTTAACATTCTTTTATAGTTTTTTCTTTTATCAAAAGTATTTTATAATTTCTTTGTGCTGCTGTTATTAATTATTCAATTATTTTTATATTGTCATGTAACTCCTTATCTCAGTTACTTGTAATTATAGTTCACGCAGTGGCCTCCTATGTTATAATTGAAGAAGTATATTATACATACTATGTGATAATTGTTGTTGGTGAGAGAATTAAATAAATATATACTCGTGTACGTGTTACAGACATACCTGCGTAGTTTTCTCGTGTATATGTAACTAGTAAACAGCGTGGTTTTGACCCTGACGGGTTAACTGGTCAAGAGAACGATATCCTACCGACAATACTGAATGGCTTACAAATAGATTTAAGGCTTCCGCCTTCACAATAAAGGATTGACGTGATACGTGGAGCTACGAATGGAGAATCACTGGATAGATACGTACACACAACAGTTTATAATGTAAAGATAATAGAAATAATACAACACATGCACGAAAGCACGACTTTGTCTTCTTAAGGTCAATATCATTTGCAGCCGATTTTTCAATTATCAGTTAATTCTTACCTGTTACAATAAAATTGCCTTTTGACAGTTTTTAGCATGGAAGAATAGTCAAATATTTTAAAGTTATTCCTCAGTTAAAATTTATGTAGCGTTGGAAAAATTGGCCCTACTTCCCGATCACGTGGTAATTTTAAAAATTTCACCGCGGCCAAATCGGCGAGGCCTTTTTTTTCATTAGTTAGTTGGTTGGTTATGTCTAAGCACTCCTATGTATTAACACCCCATAACTTACCGACGAAAAAGAAGCTAAAAACGGACAATAAATTAGAGATGACAGGCTTTCCTTCCTTAGTTGATCTATTTATGTACCAAGATATTCAAATTGATTCAATAAAACATTTTATAACATTTATAACTACTCTTTCACACTATTAATGTGAAGTTTCGAAATGTAGTTTAAAACGGGCCGACCAGACCGTGGGGTTTCTACAAAAAAAGGTGAACAGATATCCAATTTCGTTAGACACTTCGGCGCCTGACCCAAATAATATTGTACCATTTCGAATCTTTACCATGTAGTAGACTGTTAACACATTTTTTTAACTTTTATGGGCAGTAGCTATGGGTTTTACTACTACAAAACTATACGGCTAGCCGGAGATACGGTTAGCCAGTTTATTAAGACTAAAATAGTATTCAAGCTCTGCTTGCCTAAAGCTTTAGTCGATACAAAAATAACACCTCCCTATCTAGTGCAAATAAATTCCAACGTCAAAATAATTCACAATGTATTTTGTATTATTACAAACTATGAAAATTTATGTGTTTGAGACTGTACTAAAGGCAAACCGGTCTATTCTTTCAACTCTTTCTTAACGACTTTATCATCGTGGCCAGGTAGGCTATATAGTTAAATATAAAACATCAAAGGTCCGTGTGATCTTCAACAAAGCTTTCAAATGATCACTGGGATGTTTTTTTTTCTATCGTCTCATGCCCGAGACGAGTTCTCCTTACCTTTGAATGACAAAAAAGTGGACCCCATTGTGATCGGCGACGAGCAGTCTGAGACGGACCGCTGTTTCTTAGAAAAATACTCGAAGATCTGTCTCCGTACCGAATGTAGTGTTTACGGAATAATGCCGACTTTATTTGTTGCCTGCTAGGGAACATTATGAAAAAGTTAAGTTATAAAATATAGAAGCCGATACTTGTACAACACCTGTCTGTTTGCTTTCGTCTTGACATGACTAATTTACATTCGTACATATATTTTGAGATATGCCTAGGTTACGGTGAAAACCACATTACAATCCGGCCACGGGTCGTTAAGATGAACCGTTACAATGGGACATTGGAGTCTGCATACAGTCTGTGCTGAGATGCGCAGTCATCAATTCGTGATATTGAAGAGTAGTTAATTAGATAGAATCCGCGCAACCGGGTCAACATGAGTGGCAGTAAATGGTTAATTGGCAGTGCAGGCGCCACCACTTAATGGTTGAGACTATTATTATTAGTGGACGACTTGTAAAATGAAGTAAATTGATGCGGGCAAAGCAATTCATACTTTTATTACACTACTTTACGGGAAAGTCCATCTGTTCTTATGTTTACTTCGTTACTTATGTTCATTAACTTGAACGACTAAACTTAAGATGATTTGTTTGCAATAGTTCTTAGTGCTTGAAAGTTAACAGCCGGGAGGAATAATAAAGTACCTCTGCACACTTTTGTACACGAAAATATTAATTACTCAGGAATGACGAAGAACGACCATGGCAACAGCTAGTATAGACATTAACAGAAGCGAGGGGCAAACTTTAATTAGTCAATACCGCGCCATTACTGATAATTTCTCACTTAGTCATCGAGTTACGTGTGGCAAGTCATAAATTAAGCGTTGTTTTAATTTATGGACGGGAGATACGAGTGGTTTAAATTGAACCTTTTACTCTGGATCAGAAGTTAAAAGAGACGTTTAATTATTGAATGAGACGAGAGCATTTAAGTACGGACGTTGATAAATACTCTCTGTACGATATCGAAAGTGAGTTAAGTCATTTAGCCTGTTCATGGAGAATAACGCACTTGGCTTGTGACATTTAGCACGCGTTAAAGTCAAATGTTAAGTTATATGACATTTCTTACAAGATGTGCCTAAAATATTATTATCTACTTATTTAAACTTACATTTTTTAACGACACACGTTAGATATTCGAACAAAACATATGTAATTGATTGATTTGTTCTTAAAATATATTGTAAATAATGTTTCACATTCTTTTTAACCGTCAAAATAAATAATTGACATCTCTAGCGTTTCTAACACAATATGTTTCGTCAACAAATACACATTGTTCATGCCGTACAGAATGCAACTGTGTATAAACCGAATAATGAGTAGTAAACTAGTTCAAATGCAGAGTTCTAATTCACACAAGTTTAAACATATATGTATTGTCTTGATCAATGGCATTTATAAACAACTATTATGTTTGTGAATAGTTGTAGTTGTATACTAACAATGTAAACAGGGAATGTTTGTACGTTATGATATAGGAAAGGTAATTTTAGGAACTGTTTAACACCGGGATTGCCGGAACATAGATATACGGGAGGCACAGATAAGAAGTTATTCGGTTTGCCCATCTATGATGGTACAGGTACTTAAATGATGATATTTACTTAGGTCCAATTTCACAACGTTTGATTATGTCACTGTTAATCTACCTAACGGAGAATTTGTTATATTGTCCAAACGAAATGTGTCAATTAGGGCGTCGGACAACCTAAGAAGCTGTGAAACTTAGGACGCATATAATTTTAAATATATATTTTGCGATTTTTTTTAACGTAATCATTATGATAGACGAGATTAAACTACGATCAAGTACCAAAGGTTTGGTTTTAACGTTTACGACGTCATTTCATATTAGCACTAACCGTCAGGTTTCATACAAGTAAGTTATTGCGGATGCCAGCCGCAATACGGGCGCACCTAACAAGAATGCTAAGTGCTTTTAGTTAGGGAAATTGAATCAGGATCTTGTAATATTATATTTATTCTCATCATTCCTTACGGCTGTCAATCGTCATTGTTTTTGTGCAGTACAGCTGTGTAAAAACGTTTGCTTGCTTATGGATAATTCATAGAATGTTTACTTGATGTGTTCTTGTAAAGGAGCTTCCAGATCTGGCAAATGCTCCTGGCGTGGGGTGACGTGTTAACAAGAAAAATGAAAAGATGTACGCTACGCTAATTATAACTTCTATTTGAATATAATGTATACATAGTGTAACACCATAACGCCATTTAAAAACAACTAATTATTGTTTGTCAAAAGACAAGTATTTTCTACAATGAAGTCAGAAAAAGTTATTAAAAATCTCCTCTAATTAAAAACAGACAAGATAAAGATAATTAAAATTTATTATTAGAAAACGTGAATACAAAAAGGTACCCGCATAACTCATCGTTTATATGATGTAGTTTTTAATATTTGGATACACGGCAGTTTTTTATCATCAATCCGCATTCCTCGATAGAATTAAGTGCAAAATCAAGTCAACGCAGTCTGAAGTTATTGACTCATGCTAACTTTTTTACCTGAGTTTATTTTTGCAACAAAAATTGTTCCGAGTTAGTTCTTTTAAATAAATTCAGGGCCTGACTCATTTTATAAGAAAAACACATGTATCTACTTAGGCATTCTGAGATAGAACGATATGAAATCTCCCATTTCCGGCGTATGAAGAATAATGTTCATCCCGTACCCATGAGTAGTTATGTAGTTCAAGGAATATGTTTCGGAATCGTGTCAATATTTACCCAGATATTGTGAAAATTGATCCTTCCAAGAATCTGTATAGTTAGTGGAACGCCATGGAAAACAAAACTGCTGAGTCTACTTTCTTAAACTTTGACATACCATGTATTGTTTTCCGACCACGTTTCTTTGAGTACAAAAATAAACACGCTGGTTGTACAGCCACTTATCAATCGGTAGAAACAAATGTCTGTAATATATTGTTCAAGCGACGAAAGATTTGTAGCAGTCAAGATTTCGCTGAGTCATTATTGAAATTACTGAAATTAACAATGTAAAATTAACAATGTAAAATTAATCGTTAATTTCTAAGAATGTAGATTTTGACAAACATAGTTAAAATAAGTTCTTGATATTGAAATTGAGTAGCATGGTAACAAAATATCATCCGTGCAGTGATTAACCACAAAAGATTTGTACTGAATACCACAATCTTTACCTCATGGTTAGACGTTCACTCTCTCTCCTAGAGTTTCACTGGCTGGGATCAGTTGCGGATCAACTCGTTGGAGATAACAGAAGGTGCATGTACTTGTGTAAGGAAGCAGGCTGTTAGCCGAATAGCGGGCGATGCCCTGCGTAGGATGACCCTTTGTCTGAAGGGTATTAAATAGTTCTGTGCTCAATAACAACGTTTAAAATGAATTTGACCGAGCGAGACTTTGTCCGTGACAGCAAACTAAATCACCTACTAACTGTTAGGTCGTGCTTATATTTTATCTTTCATCAACATTTATTTTGCCTTAATCTTTTTCATACAGCAATTATCGTTAAAGTTTTTTATTTGACAAAGTTATCAGATCGAAAATTGCAGTCGTAGGTAATTAATTTTGCTGCATTGATTATAATCATAGTTGTGGTCTGCTATCTATCCTGTAGGCGCCTAAGCGACTTCAAAATACCTGTGATCTATGTTGGTTGAGTTCGGGGAAGTCCCACAGTCAAGGATAATTTTGTGGCCTGGAATTTATGAACGCATTCTAAAGTCTTTTAAATCAAAGAATGTAGAGATGAGTATGTTCAAATAATAACTCGAGTATAATAAAATATTAATGACAGTAACGCTGCATAAATGGTTCCAGAAACACACGCAAGTGAAGTAAATACACACTTTTTCTTAAAACACAAACATAATAAATCCGTACAGGCACCTTAAACTTCAACGTCTTTCAAATATTTTAAATAAAACACCTGCAGGTTTGATCTTTATAAAGTAGAATATAAAGCGTTATAAATATGAGTCATCTTAAAAGAATTCTTACGTGAAACATCCACTATTTCACTGGCGCCTGAACGCGAAAATATTTAGACTCGACCACAGATAAATCAATAATTAAAAAGAATTGTTGCCAGTTACCGCAGACGGTGGCAAATCATTTCGAATATATTCATAACGATAGCCCGATGGATGTATGCGTAATACTGATTATATGGCGCCAAATGTAATTGCATTCTAATCACAAAATACTTACAAATGTACATAAATATTTATAAGGACGTGCAACACATACGCGAAATATACTCACATTATTTATCACTCAATATGTCTTACGAGGTTGGTGCTTGTCTTGTGATCAGAAATACCAGAAATTATATATTTCAGGGAGACAGACACATACTATAAATATATTTTATGCATTGTAAAGTGAAGGAAAATAAGAATGTGGTGTACCTACATGTTAATGTGTCAACTATTGTAATGGATCGTTTGTCCGCGTTATCAGTTTCTGTAGTTATTTACTTGTCACGTCTCCTGTCCCGCACTGGGACTACTGAGGAGCGATACTCATGCATTTTAGATGTACATTGATAAATTGCAAACAAGTTTGATGGGCCTCTTATACATAAACGCAACAGCAGACGTGTGGCAGCCGCTTCGTCTGCACGCACGCGATGCAATTTGTATGTCAAATGTATTGCATTATTTTATCCTGGATTTACATTCCATACGACGAACTTTTGAACGTCTTAATATTTAGGCTCAGTGGTTTAATGATATTTTTACATTGGGTGCAAAAAATTCTTAACACAAAACAAGTATTTTTCAAGCATTTTAATCTTCCTCTGCCACCGACAGACAACTGCGCGACTAGGTACATACGTTGTTGTCTGTTTACGTTAAAAGTACACTAACCTATGGTTAATTAGTTTAACGGCCCAAGCCATGTATATTTTTATGTGAATCAGCACTATGTTTATAACACGTAAGAGTGATGTGTTTATCAGCATTTTCTAACGAATTGGGAATGTTTCTGTGAAAATTGCTTAAGATAATATTACCTACGTGAAACCTATCTATCGGTACATCCAAAAGGCGCTCTAGTGTATAATAAACATTGGCTTTCATCTGGATCATTGTTTACAAACGATGTCTAAAATGTATCCAAAGGTATTTACAATGGCGCGTTAGATAAAACAGATGTGTCGAATCCGGGTACTGGAGATCTCTCACTGTACATCACCTATAACATGTTCTTAACCTATTAGCTACGAATGAATGCTTTGAAACTTATAAATCATCGTAAGTGCGCCGTCGCAGCGGCGCGGCTGTTACGTTCGCCTACTACAATGTTCAGTAAGATTTATAAGTAGCGTACGTCCTACCATTGTTTCAATCACACCAGTTACCTAATATAAGGAGGTTACAAATTGTTTTATTTAAATTGTATGTTATTATAGTGTTGCTTTTAAATTGAATAGCTTTTATAGAAGACATTCTGATCTAATGTCGTAATATTACCTACAAGCAGACAAGTGTGGTTTATCCAACTATAAAATAAATTGGCTATAATACAGAATTCGCTTAGCTCAGCGTAGGTGGATGGAAACCAGCATGTTCCAATACAACACAGACAGATTATGAGCAAAAACTTTCACATGCAAAATGACAGGCTCAGAAATTGAATGACATTTAGATTTTATAGTTTGAACGATGGTGAGCTGGGCAAGAAAAGGAAATATAATTCGCTTAGCAACACTATAAAGAGAGATAAGAAAATTAGTAGTCGGTTAGCAAATTTCATAGGTCTTTCAAATGTGTGTGAGCTACAGCCTTGATAAACATAAAAAATGTGGTCAATGTTCATGTTAATGTAGAGTTACTTACCGGTCCTTGTGCAATCAGGTCTGCCGTTTCTGACAGAAGTGTCTGGGAGCGGTTTGCCATCAGGAGTGACGCACCAGCAGCCGCCCGGGGCCGCTCCCGCGCTCGCGCATTGCACGGCGGCGTAGCTGCCGTCAGCACGGCATCGAGGAACGTATGCTGACCACACCCCGCTCTGCGCGTTTAGGGCATATCGTTGCGCTATCAGGCAGGATGATTGTCCCTCTGTCAGAGACGAAGAAACTTATGTACAAGGCAATTTTTCAACAGGTCTAGTCGCTTGATGTGGTATACGTTGCGAGTAGCTGTGGTTACGATCATAATCTAAATTAAAGAACAAATAAGGTTAGACTACGTCGTAACTAAAACACAAATGGAAGCAGAGGAATCATCAAGTCTATAGCTTATCTGTAACGAGAGCGACTAACATAGCCGCTGCAAAAGTGTAAACTGACAACATTCCATGACTTCATAAAGATCAGTTGTACAGCAAAGGCAAGGTCAAGACTAACAAAGACGCTTTTTATAAGAGCTGTGTTCATGGGAAACATAAATATTTCCTAAGCTTACAACATGAGTATATCACTTATCTGCAACAACGAGACTCTTGTATAGACTGGTTTACTGAATGTTAGGAGTGGAACTTTAGTGTTTCGGTTTTATATCGTAGCTGGAAGTAACTGTCACTTACCGACGCAGGGTCCCTTCCTTGCTATGGTGACTGGTGGGCCGTTGCATTGGGCTATCATGAGGTGACATCGCGAAGGATATGTATGGCCATCGGTGCCGCAGACAGGACGGCGAGCGTGCGCTGCGTTCGATTCGCACGCGGTCGCACGCGCCTTGCACGCCTCGTTGTTCACTGGATTCGACGCGGAGTTCTTGCAAGAAACGAGTGCTCATTAGTATTTCATTGAAAATTGTCACTTGACCCAATTGATCGATCGATACACAATAATTTTGGGAAATTATTTATTACCGCAAATGCCATCTGATGCATATGGAATCGAAAGTGGTCGTAAACTTGTAACCGTTTTACTATCTCCTGAGATGTTTATAAAATTATTGTGGGTAAGTACTACCGTTCCATACTTTTATGTTTCCTTTAGAAAGGGCTTGTATTTCACAAGGCAAATGATTGGTGAGACCAATCCAAGTTAGATCAGGTTTCTGAGTTGATTAAAATCGCTTGGGTGTTACGCCTAAATGCATGTATAAAATACGCTTGGGTTTCTCATTCCAGTTTATTCCTTGAATCATTTGAACAATAGAACTGCGGTGTACTTGGAAACACTTTAAATATTCTACTTATGATTGTATGAGCCCATAACATAAATGCTAATTTAAATTCAGTTTCCACTTATATGGCAAGCGAGTTACTGTAGCTAGAGGCAATAGACAATCTCAATGCCAGTGTCAATGTTCGCGAACAAATGATGTGCTATTTAGTATCCGATGTTTAATAGGTCATGGCATAGGTCTGTTAGGCACACCTACTTTTCATACGTTCTTGGAACATTTACATTATGTAAAGGGAGTTTTAAATCTAATAATGCAAGTTTTATGCTATGACTACCACTAGCCAATTGTAGTGAATAGAATACAGATGTATTTTAATATATTCTGCCCAAGTTATACCTATCTAATCTAATCAATATAATCAAATGCAGCTGAACCAATATTTCAAAATTTTATGCATATGCGCAACGGATATAAACACACCTGCAGGATAGATGCAAGACCAAGGTCGAAAGTCGGGCAGGTACAAAAACAAAATTAAATATTAAATCGACTGGTTTCGATATAACAGATGTTGATATGTTTAGTATTTTGATATTCATTAAGATCACGATTAATGTCATTATTTATTGTTATATGATAAATTAATTGTGTTCATCCTTCAGTGTTCTGATTCGCAGGTGGTTAGAGTCTGCTCAGTAGCGGCTGACATTAATAACAGATCTCGGATAAAGATTAACATTAGTTGTACCTACGCATTTACTATTACACGGTCACAAAGCTCTCATTTTTAACCAACGAGTCCTGCCAGTCCTTACCTACGGAGCCGAGACTTGGGTGACAACTATAGCTGTACTCCAGAAACTAACTGTCACCCGAAAGCCCATAGAACGTAAGTTAGTGGTAGTAACTCTAGTAGATCACAAGACTAATAAATGGCTGAGGAAACAAAGCATCAGATATAGTCAAACAAACATCCAAGCTGAAGTGGCAATACGCAGCACAAGTTGCCCGTAAACACAACTTTTAGTCCAGGGATCTGCTGGAGTGGAGTGGCGTGGGAACATAAACGATATATTGGTAGTACGCAGATGAGATGGAAAGATAACATCAAGGAGGTGGTGGGATGAAATTGGATGCTAATAACCCTTAGTAGGACTTAGTAGAAAACATTGGAGGAGGCCTACACCAAATTTGTTGTCGCGGAGAACCTAACGGGTAACCGGGGCTCCGGCTCGACCTGCAGGAGAAGGAACGGGGTGGTTTTTAGTCAGTAAGAGTCTGACACTCCCTCCCGCCTCACCCAGGCGGGAGCAGTCATTCGATGATTTTCCCCCCTTAAAAAAAAAACACTAAATTTGTTGAAAAACACTTGAGATGATAACGATGACTGAGTTTACTGTAATTTCGTCAGTCGGTAAACTGACTCCCGTAGAGATGAATTCACTGCTCATTGACCACTACATCCCATTAATACCAGCCTTAACGAAGAAGCAGTTGGAAAATGTCTTTATTTTACAGACTGACTAGCTTCTGCCCGCGACTTCGTTCATTCGGTCGTTCGTTTCGTTTATCAAAATCGGTCAAGCCGTTTCGGAGGAGTATGGCAACGAAAACTGTGACACTTCAATTTTATATATATTAGTTTCTGTGAATAAGAAGGGTGTTTTTTTTTAAATAAGCGTTTCCCTACACTAGGATGTTTTTCTGTGTTGTGGGTGCGTTTACAAACTTATAAGTTTACATGCACATGACACCGAGACCGGGAAAAACGGGTGTTATTAGCAATTAAAATATCACCATGTGAAGAACACTTCTATAGGATACACGTGTTAATTTCTTTCTTTCTAAATTTTAGCACGTTATCGATTTTCGAAGTTTTTTTTTTGTAAAATACGACTATTTCAAAGGTTTAATTTTTTACACTGTAGATGAAGTCTGGGTTGGCAAGGTGTTCCTTGAATTTCACCAAACTTCAAAAAAGGCTCTAGGTACGTGTTCACATCTACCGAATTATAATAATGGCAGATCAACTTAGGCACATACTTTCCTTGTACTTTTATTACTCAAAAAATAAGCCTAAAATTGTCATAAACAAAAGAATAACTAAAGGTTTAAAGGTAAACCCAGGTAACTAAGTATATGACCATATTATTAACCAACATATTTAATATTTAATACGTCTCTCAAACGACTTGTAACGATCGATAGCGGTAGCGGTTCAAAAAACTTGTCGGTTCTTTTATGTTAACAAATCGAAAGCTTTCACGAACTCTGGTCAGGTCGTCAGGTCGGAGGTCAGGGAATTTGACTACCGACTCTGAAGTAAGTTCCCTGGCATTATTAAGTTAACGAGTGCTTGTGTCAGTTCTGATGTATAGGAAAGTTGACTGCTGGTAAAGACTTGAAATCTTTGACTTATGGAGACTCCCATAAAAACACAACTGAAATGTTTTGATGATGAAAATATACTCGGAATATGGAATAAGTACGAAGAAATACACGGAATATCTAGATAGGCAATAACACAGAGATCATTTTATTTGGGATTGGAACACCTCCAAAAAATATTTACATCATGGCTTTATGGCTCTTTCATTATAAGTAGTATCAGATATCCTTCAACACCCAATTATTAACATTTTGAAATAGATTAACTATGTAATATAATCTATTTTATTATCTATTCAAATATACACAGTAACTCGGAAAAGATCTCTAATAAAAACAACAAATATCTTGATTTTTGAATATGAGAACAGTTAAAGGCTATTAGAATCAGATTGCGATATTTGATACAAACAGCAAAATATGTACGAGGTGATGTTTTTTAAAAAATTGTATTCATACTTATAAATATTAATAAACCTTTGGGTTTTTTTCGGACCTAGTAGGTACTTACTAGGTCCAAAATTAATAAATATTGGCCTTAGTTGTGTGGAATTTCTCCCAAAACTTAGATTAGATTATGACAATTTTGGAAATATGATTAACAAGCTGATAAACTTTTATATTATTTTTTTTCGCATCTTTTAACTTCCACGACCACTTTAAGACCACAAATTAGCGAAATCGGTTTAGCCATTCTCGATTTCTAGCGAGACTAACGAACGGAAACTGATTCTTATTTATATAGATTTTGGTAGATCGGTTATCAATTTCAGGCGCCAAGCCCTAATAGATTTAATAGAAACATTAATCGTTTAAAAGAAATCATCGACTTCAAGGCTTGTTGGAACATTTCATAACAAGTAATCCGATGAGTGGGTTAATCATAAAATCCCAAGTAGTTACTGATCTAGTAATGCAAATTGCCACCTGAGCACAGATAGCCCTTTATTTATCTCCTCACTACAAACTGACATTACAATCTCATTTATAATTATGTAAACGTATCTATTATATCATTTGCAGCAATTTAAATGTTCCGACTTTTATACACCGGGGTATAATTACAATGAAATATATGTAGTTAGTGAGTAGTTGTACCCAGATAGGTACAGAAGATGTAAGACTACAAAACACCTATGTTCGTAGGTCGAGAATCAAACAAACAAGTTGCCAGATAACTCCTATTCTGTAGTCTGTCACTTGTCACATCGATCTGATAGATACAGGAAGTAACTAAAGTACGTCGGGTACCCGTCCAGTAACATACTCACTTACACGCATGAACATATTTACCAATATCGAAGCCACTTCCTGCTTTCAATACTGGACCAACAAAAGCAAAAAAGAAATTAAAATAAAAGAAATATTTTGGTTACAATATGGGATTGTATCCACAGATTTATTAGTCTAGGAATATAAAGCTAACTAATCAGAGCTTTACTAAGTCAAAGGTGTCGTTAAATTGAGATAGTGGCGCGAGGCTAAGTCACACGAGTAATAATATGAAAGTATCAACAAAACATAAATAATATTTACCTTATCATCAGGTGCAGCTCCAACAATATAAATAATGGTGAGAAAAAATAAACGGGTCACTAAATCATTTACATTCATAATGTCAGTTGATAAAGCAATTTTCTTAAAAATCTGTGTTCGCCGTTATTATTATTTTATTTGTAACACTCGTTCACACAACAAAACAGACCGTCTGAAGACCGGGCAAAGAATGACTGAGTTTTTACTAACATATTGGCATAATACGTTAGTTTATTATAAACTGGCTTTGTTACAATAAAACGTTCAGTTTTACAATAGGGATGTAGTGGGACGTTCGTCGGGACAGAGAGCTAAGAACAGAATAAAATACAATAAGGATAAGATCCCGGTGCGCCTCCGCCGCCGCCGCCGCACCGCGGTCGCCCTGCCACAAGCAAAAAGCGCAGTGCGCGCACGTACCGCCGGCCGCGCCGCGCGCGCACCGTCCGCCGGCACCCGCGCCCTCCCCCGCCCTCCGCTTAGCTTATTCGTTCCGTTTGCCACTACGGGAATAACGATGCGCTAAACCTGCTTCTTTGATCATTTTTAAATCACGGACAAACTAATTGGCTGTTAGCGGTTAATTGGTAATGATTGAGTTAAGTAAGTTATTAAACATATCACTTTGTATGTGGTTCGAAACTTGATAGGTGGTTCTTGTTTTTTGCTCCTTATTTAAGTAGTTACCAATATCTAACTATGAAATTAAATCTCTCGCTTCAATTAAAACTTACAAATGTTAAATTGCTAGTTAATTCTTAAACGAAAATGAAGCAGGAAGAAGGTCCTAAATGCGAACTCGAAACAGGGTGAAATAAAGATAACTTAAAAGCACCTAGGCATGTAGATTTTTATATAACGGTTAGGTAGGAGGCAAGCAAGCACTACACAGTAATAAAAATAATAAATTTAAAGCATTGTACCAAGGTATGCACTTTGCTGAACTGTGTGGTGACGTCATGACGGTAGTGTAGGATACATTAATACATTTGCTACCCCAACTCTTCCCATGGCTGTCGTAATTGAGTCATCTAATGGACTACCTAATAACTAAAAATCGCCGTTTGCTCACGGGAATAATCTGAGAAAGGCTCTAATAGTTTCTAGCCACAGAGGTGCTCTTCCACATTCATAATAACACAAATCAGTTCGCAACGTTCTCTAATAAACCTAATCCTATTACTAAGATTTTTGTGAACTTATTCCTTATAAATTGCGATCTCCATCCAGTTTGATAATTGTGGAGATTATGGAGGAGGAGATTAGGATCCTCTTATTAAGGAGAATAAGAGTCGTTTTCACCAATCACGCCTAAACTGTCTCTTATCTAAAAACCACTTAACGCAACATAGTCGAAACTAACTCCTTACTTGTACTTTTAGGTGTCACTTACTTACATAAGGTGTCGGTGAAACCGAAGATCTAATGACACCATGTGATCGGCAAGGTTTCAACAGCTATTATAAAAATATAAAACAAAAAACAAGTAATGTAGTTTTTAGATTACAATGACTTATGTGCAATCCACGAAAAAGTACACCCTGTTCCAGACTTTTGACTCTTGTTGCTACAATTCTTTTACTTACGATATCCTGGATAGTGTTTCAGTATAATGGAATCATAAATTCTGACCCAACTGTCGTTTTTGATGAACCAACTGTTTTTAATAAATCACTATACTTTACGTGACTGTACTGAAATAAAATTGTACTGCGGTAATAGTGGCAAAATTTCACCAAAGTTGCCGCATTTAATAAGGACTCTAAAATTGTATATCACTCCCTGCATTATTTCTTAATTTAGACACAAAAAAAATATTCAACGAAACTCCGTTTCGAGCAATATATTTTGACTTATAAAATTTTATTCTAGTATACCCAAAGCGCAGCTTTTTTCTTGATAACGGGGGAAACCTTCAAAAGGCGCTTAGTTTTTTTTTGGGATAGAAAACTAGGGAGTGTGGGATTCTTACCGCACTAAAACCACCCCGGGGGCACCATTATCACCTATGGGGGGCACCGAGTCCTCTATAACAGACCTGTTCCGGAACCCTCGTATCCACCAGGTAACACTTAGCAGGCGGCATGATATCATCGTGTTGCTAAACATGTTGGAAATCAGCGTCGATCTCTTATTAAACCACATCGTCTGTCTACTCATGATTTCGCTCGCAGAATTCGTCGGCAATATTGTTGCTGTAGATAGGTGACAAGACACCATGAAGGTAGGTGAAAACAGAACCTATACCTATCTTAGCTTAGGAGTTTCTCTAAACTTAGGGAAGGTGAACACGTGCATTATAATCCAGCAGTGGCTCCTGCGGATGGTTGTGAATGATGGCTGTTGCAGTAAACTAGTGACTTGATGCGCGAAAATAGAATTCAGGTAGTATTTGAAACATGAACTGCAAAGCATTATCTATATAAGTTATCTTGGTACTATACTTACTAAACTGGTGCAGTAAAAACAACAGTGGTTATAGTCGTGATTGTTTTCTCTTATTCAGGTACTCAGACTTCAAGTAGCTAAAGAGAATGAAGCATGCATTTAATTTAACAAAGTACACACATTATGACATTTAATGTCACTGTACAATGTAACACTCATTTTTCAATAATTATGTTATGAGTCCTATGTAATAGGGGGTGAGCCTACTGCTTTTTTTAAAAACCCAGTAACAATTTGCCCGATCCGGGAATCGAACCTGAGACCCCTTGCCCGGCAGTCACACTTGCGAATACTTGGTCAACGAGGCAGGCATAATAATATTTATCAGAAACTTGCCAGCAGTAGCAGCCGTGTTCTCTTATACACTATCCATTTTAACCTGCTTTGCCCAGCCTGGAGATTATAGCAAACCCCTCGTTTGTAAGAAAGGAGAATGAGAGATGTTTGTGAAAGGAGAATCCTAATCTAGAAATACACAGAATGATGGGATGTTAATGAAAGTGGTGTAAAATATTGTTTTCAACTTGGCTCAACGCGCTACCGTGCCTCTGGGCGTGAGGCGACTGCAACTGTTAGTTTTTAAAGGCTAATATAGGTATCTTCATCATCACCATCAACAGCCTATAAGTGGCCACTGCTGCACCAAACGCCTCTTCACACACGGCGAAGGTTTAAGCTTTATTCACCACGGTCGCCCATTGCGGGTTGGCGATTTCAATTTATGGCTAGTAATTATAAGCCCAGGTTTCCTTTCAATGTTTTTCGTGTGCCGTTTGTCAGCGGTTCCTAAATAATCTTAGAACGTGGAATAGTGGCACAGAATTATTTGCATATACATTGGATTTATTGATATTATTCAAAATATAAAAAACGAACATTAAAAATGGTACCTTTAATCCTTTTCAAATAATTAGAATAACGCCATCTATTGATCGTACTGGCTCCGTAATTGAAGGTACTACAACATCGTATACAGAAAACACATACCATCATTAGTAAAACGCAATATAAGTAGATGGCGCCACTTACCAATTGCTACAAATGAAATACATGGATATTTATTTGATTTAAATTATTATATTATTCATTTGTACGAATGTTTGAATCACTTTACTGTAATAATTAACACACATTATTTAACTACACACAAGTAAAACACTTGACACGAATCTTGTCCATTTTTTGACATGACATGTGTCATTAGTACTGTCAGTGCGGTTTCTGTTTGGACTACTAGATGGAGCTAAGTGTCAGTCTATAAAAATAATCAAAATATTTCATCGTTTTTCAATACCTTTCCTACTGACTCGGTTTCCGATCTGAAAACATTATATAATTACCCACTGAAGCAACTTACAAACAATAGACAGACTGTACTTTTTGAGACGAATCTTTAATATTTTATATACTTTCTTAGTCCGTAACAGTTTTATTATATTATCTTCAAAGTAAGATTATCGAACAAATACTTAATACATCTATAATTTTCATATGATTGTTAGAACATAAAAGATGTACCTGCGCAATAATATATATACCTAAATATCGTTTATTTTCGGCAACCCATACATTTAACAAACATAATAAAACCATTTTTAATACACATTAGGTATAATCATAATATATAGATTCTATAGTTACTGGAGAACTTCAGTTCATGATAATTCATATAATTTATTTTCTTGATGGATGTTTTCATGCAGTAAGCACGTGCACTTTCTCATAATAATTTCATTGAAGAAGCATTGAAAACCAACAATTATTGAATTTGATTAAATAAAAATATGCTATTGTTGATGACATTTATTGTGACATGGAAATGGGCTACCCATTTCTAACCGACTTTGGACAAAAGATGAATATCAATAATATAGTCTGTATAGGCACAAAACCGTAGGTTACCTATAATAAAATATTATTAGGTACACTTTCTTGGTCAACGTACTCAATAGTTACGTAACTTATGCAATAGTTAAAGAATCAACAACTATTAGCTGATTAGAGTGATTATTGGTGGCCATTTTTGTGGCCATTTTTTTAATACTCAGTTACGTTTAAACTGAATATTTGAAAATTCATCAATGCTAAAAACTGTCAAATGTCAATTATATTGTACAGTTAATAAATAACTGATAATAGAAAAATGAACTCTAAGAAAAACAAAGAATAATTTCTACCAAGATTCCCCAAACCCTCAAAATCCCTACCCAAAACAGGCCGATAACGCACTTTTAATGCCTTTGATGTTTTGGGTGTCCATGGGCAGCGCCGATTGCTTACCATCATGTGTTGCGATTGCTCGTTTACAGGCTTATCACTAAAAAATACCTAAACAGAAAACATGTAATAAAATTGTCAGTATCTTAGCATCTAATAAACAATCAATACCTCCCGTAAGACGAAGACTGACAATAGCACAGCCGAAAGTTGTAGGAAGCTGATTGTAGATTAGATTTAATATTCAGGAATAAACTGTAGGTTTGAGTTGGACCATAGCCTGTTAATCCTGATTATTACTTCGATCTTTCTATTTTCTTCAAACTTATGACAAATATAGAATAAGCTACAGCTACTTCTTTTATCATAATGTAGGAATCAGTTAGGAAAAACGATCGTGGATAAGCTAATATACCCATGTCTTGAAAGGTAAACCTAAGTATAAAATTTGATAAAGTTTGATTAAGTTCTGGGCGTATAGAAGGCTCAGATTCGAAGACCCTGACGTAATGCTGAGCTAAACCCAGGCTGGCAAACTTTACTTAGACTCCGACTAGTCCAACACTCGAGGAACCCTATAACAGCGATGATAGCTTAATGTGTCTATCACAGAGTGGCGTGGCCTTGAAATTATCATGCCATTCTAAATAATGAATCGTAAATAGACTATAAAAATGATATTTTTTTCTTTAATTGCTATTAGAAGAAGAAAACATTGATCAAAATGGATATAAAATTGTCATCAGTGAAATTTTTTTCCGATGGTAGCGATCTGGAGTAAGTTTCTTTTAATGCCAAAACCACCGATGACGTCGATATTGTTAGAGTCGCGGGAAACCATGGAATGCAAGTGGCGAGCCATTTTCCAACGTCGAGGAATAAAGGGGAGGACTTTGTCCAGCAGTGGTCGTCTTTCAGTTGCTGAAGATGATGATGACATGGACCACAAAAACCATGTTAAACTTAAAACACTGCTGAAACATTATTCGGCTGTATTGAGTTTAACTATCCAACGTTTACATGTATACTGTTTATGTCTTGTGCCTTACCTAGGTTTGACAAATGTATGAATTGTATACCCTGTACTTACCAGGGCATCATTATCACCGTCCCTGTTGGAAATATCGTCATGACTGTGTTTAGTGTCAGACCAGAAACAATAAAATGCTTTTTTGCAGGGGGATTGAGAAAGTGGAAGACATTTTATACCTTAGAATTCTTAAAAAGATTATGTGGGTTATAGATGGGTGGCCAAAGGAAGCGTATAAGTCTCAATTCTTTAGATATTACATTTGCATTTTGGATATGGTATCCCTGATACCTGGTACGCTTTACCTTAAAATCAACACTGGGAAGATACCATCTTTCGAGTTGGGTCACACTTACATCACGGTATTTATGAATGCTATCGCCGCCGTAAGTATCATTGTCCATTTTATCATATCATATACTTATTAATTTCAATTCGTGTACAAAAATAATAACAATTTTTATTTAATTTTGCTTTTTTTCATATGGATCCAATATTTTAATAAATATGAACACATTTGAAACTTGAATACGGAAAAAATGATTTCTTTTATTATTACAGTTAAGAACGGTGCTGGTATTGACCAGAAAATACAACGAAATCATATTCTATTTTCTGAAAGAAGTACATCTTTTCAATTTTAGACGTAAATCTAAATATGCTTATGAGGCAAGTAATTTAATTTAGAAGTTTATAACCAGTTGTTATTTCTTTCTTTGTTTTAAACAATACCATTATTAATGACGATACCCTCACATTGCAGACTCACATACTGGTCCATAAAATATCTCATTTCTTCACGATGTACGTGTTCGTGTTGATGTGTTGCGGCATATTGCTGTTTAACCTGACTCCTATCTACAACAGCTATGCAGCAGGCATGTTCAGAGATGAGCCGCCTCCAAACGCCACGTTCGACCACGCTGTATATTTTGCGCTGCCTTTCGACACTTCAACTAGTTTCAAAGGCTATGCTGTTGTTTCCTTGTACAACTGGTACATTTGTATAACCTGCTCCACATACTTCTGTATTATTGATCTGACTATATTTATAATGGTGTTTCATCTATGGGGTCATATGCGTGTTTTGTCATACAATCTCGAGAACTTCCCAAAACCAGCCTCAGTGCTCGCTGCAGCAGATGCTCATGCGTACACAGTATGTGAGAACAAATACAATGAAGAAGAATTAGTTGAAGTATTTATTCGACTGCGGGACTGTATTCAAATCCACAGTCTTGTTATCAAGTGAGTATATTAACACACATAAATGGGTACATTCGCTGTCTCCTTTCTAACAAAAAGTTTACGAATTCATATATTTGGCACAAATTTTGGATATTTTTAAGAGACACTCATTACCATTCTCAGCTTCTCATCAATGATGGCCGATAGTTTCGGGTGGACTCTTTTGGTGTATTTATTCTTTCATCAAGTGAGCGGATGTCTTTTGCTCCTGGAGTGCTCACAGCTGGTATGTGTGTTCGGATTTTAAAATGATTATGTATTTTAAATAAATAAACATGTTCTTTATAATAAAATAATTTACAACATTGCATTGTAACAACTTGTAAACACGCTAAGTGCTATAGGATTTCCATATCGGTTACGAATTGCTACATAACTTCTACGCCGGTCCTACGCGGCGCAGAAGTTATGTAACCGTAGCTTTGGCGTTGACATTGCATAGTGTCCACGGCGTAGTACACTGAAACGATATACGACATAATGTTTACGGTTTTATCCGGTGCGTAGGTGTAGCGTAACATTAAGAAGCTGTAAAATGATCAAGCGTAGATGACGTAAGCAACGTCTACAATGTTCCTACGTGGCGTAGGTGCGGCGTAGATATTTCGTGTTCGTAGACTAATCAACCGTAGGAGACACAGGCAACGTCTACGCAGCTCCTACGCGGCGTAGCTGAGGTGTAGACATCGCATAGCCGTTGACTAACCAAGCGTAGATCACTGCTACACTGCTACGCTCTACGACGATTGTTGAAAAATTCTTGGGTAGTGATTTAGAAATGGTGCTAAGTTATATACTTATAATTTTATTATGTTTTAGGATACAGCAGCATTAGCTCGATACGGACCTCTTACAATAATTATCTTTCAGCAGTTGATTCAGTTGTCCATTATTTTTGAGCTGCTTGGATCATCAGTAAGTATTGGGTTGTCACATAATTTCAAAACAGAACGTAATATGGTTTGTACTGTAACATTTGTAGTTGACAATGGCGACATGTATCAACTATCAACCGTTAATAAAATTATTGTTATTAAAGTTACATAATGTTTGTATCTTGTGTAACAATTTCATAAATCTCTCTCTTCTATTTATAAGCTGACTAGGTTCCATTAGCGGTTTTACCTGCATTACCGGGGTAAACGGAGTAAATTAGGTACTATTATTTCACATATTACTGTGTCATTTTCTTCAGAACATTTTAGTCGTTCTTGCATTAAAGAGATAAAAATAGTCAAATTAAATAGAAGTTAATAAGAATGACTTCTAATTCCAGAATGACAGATTAATAGATTCCGTGTATAGTGTGCCCTGGGAATACATGGATACTGCAAACCGGAAGAACGTGTTTGTCATGTTAAGGCAATCTCAGCGATCCATGAATCTGAAGGCATGCAGCATGATTACTGTCGGTGTCCAGACTATGATAGCGGTACGGTGATATTTTCGAATACATAGGTCATCTAATATTATTCAATTTTAACTTCATTTTTATATAAAGATGGCATGTAACTTTGATATAGAAAATCGACCTCTTTTTCCAGACCATTTAGTTAAGTAGATAGTAAAATAATAGCTATACATAGACACAGATATGACTTTTAGTTTAAAAGATATTTATTTCACAGACAAATGATAATTAAATAATTTTTTCTTACTAATTTTATGATTCCAGATTTTGAAAACTTCGTTCTCGTACTTCGTGATGCTGAGAACAGTTGCCGATGAGGAAGAATAAAATTTAATTATCTCGTACAATGTCACGTTGAAATTTAATCTTAATATTATATGCACAAATATTTCGTTGCTTTCAGTTTACTTTAATAAAAAACTCTTTCCGAGGATTTTGGTAGAGCTGGCTTAAGGACTACAAGTTGCACAGAAATCGGGCAGCAGTGCTTGCAAACCTGAACTACTTTTAAAACTGCGATCCGCAACCAGTTTTTGTCAAGCGTTGAGATTGAGGCAACACTCTCTTAGAGTGCGTCCACATCTGGCTAATGCGCCACTCGCGAGCCGTTTATAAGCAATGGTTTGGTACTCAACTCATTCAAGGTTCATATAAATAATTATTTTTAACGCACGCGTGCAGCTCGCTGGCGGCTCGCGGCAGGACGCGAGGGGCATTCGTCGGATTTGGACGCACCCTTATATAGTTATAATGGATTGTAGTCCAGCAGTACCTTCACTGCTACCGGCTGTAGATAATGCTAAAATTGATGTATATGATATATATTATTAAGATGATATTTTCATAAAGATTCTACTGGAATGTCTGCTAATTGTCTAATACCGACTTTGTATACAACTCATTAGATGAGATTTGACAATGTTGTGTGTAAGTTTGCTATGTACAACAAATAATATCAACTTATTGTTATGTTCTGCATATTATTAAGATCGATTTTTGGTCATTTTTGTAGGAATGGAGTTTTTGTCAAAAACTGACAGTTTTTAGAATAAGATCCGTTTTAACCTTTCGACCGTAAGTAAGTCTATTTAACTGAAATCTGATATTGTGAATGGTATACAAGTCGTGAACCGCATGGTGTCAACGGTTAAGGTGTTGTTTGGCTTCATCAGGCAGTTGGCCATGCATTCGCTCTTCGTCTCAAAGTTGTTCTGGTTACCACCGCACCCAGAATACAAGCGTCGTCTGCAGTGACTGTAACATGGTGCATTTAAAAAAATATATGAAATTCACTCCTTCCAATCGTTCAGGAGTTCATCTACCATCATTGCTGTGCCATGTATAAATCTATAGCCAAAATAATTGCACAAAGCATTCTTAAGCGTCACTGACTAAACCAGTCATGAAGACTTTGTGACATGAACAGTATGACGTCATACTCGAGCTACACCTTTGTTGCGGAACTCGCTCAAAGAGTGCAAATTCTTTGATGTGTTGTATAAACTAATACGTACCCGGCTACGTGATCCCAAGTCCATCGATTATATTGTCCAAAGCAGGTTCCATAGTCAAACGCAAGCTGACAAAAGTACGGAGTGTGTGCTGCAAAAATAAATAATGACACGTTTAAAATGTTAATCTAATGTAACAGGGCTGAAATACTAGTTAATGTTTTAAACTAAGGGTCTACTAACGACATGAACGTGTTGCCGTTAGTATCGTCAACCATGGGAAGTAACTCGATTATGGGAAGTAACATGGGAATTATATGTATATCTAGTTTTCAAGAAATAAGATGCGCAGACGGATCACCTGATGGTAAGCAATTGGCGCCGCCCATGGGCAATGGACACCCGAAATACCAGAGGTGTTATAAGTGCGTTACCGGCCTTTTTGTGGTTTTGGAATTTGAGGATTGTTGAGCATTCGGGGATTGGGGAGATTGGGGATGAGGGATTTCAGTAACCTCACTTATACTACGAAACACAACGCAAGTGTTGTTTAACATCGGTTTTCTGTAAGGCCGTGGTATCACTCCAGCCGAGCCAGCCCATTAGTGCCGAAGCATGGCTCTTCTACATTTAAAATGAGAGATGCTACAATACAACTATTCAAGTTAGTTTATTGTATTACTGATATTAGACTTAAAATGAGTAAATAAAACGCTTACTAGCTTTCATATTTGTGCTAAGGTAACATGTTTCTTTACATTCCTCTTCTGAGACGAAGTTATTTCCATTCCCTTGGCAACCGCCCCAGAAAAAGCGATAGCACTTCCGTTTCTTAGCATCATAGTACCAAGATAAAATATCGGCTCTGCAAGGACCCGTGTCAGGCCTTAGTAAACATACTTTACGTTTAGCTGTAACGGACAATACATTTAAATTATACTTATTTTCCTTTAAAACAAAAGGTTTTCATTTTAAAGGTGACTAAGTTACCGTTTGTAGGACGTAGATACGTTATCAATGAATAAGATACTTATATCAGAGTATCATAAGAGATTATCATGAATTGAACAAATGCTAATGATAATTACTATATTAATATACTACCTATTTATATATAGAGGTACATATGACTATATATATACTATAAAATTCATCCGCTTCAATGTCAACCGGAAAAGTAAAATTGCCGCATTGCTTTGTGTAACAGAATACATGAAAATCTAGTATTACTTACCGTCTAGTGATGTTCGTACTACTTTCTGGTATACATATTTACTTCGTTCATTGCTTGAAGAAAACTGGTGCCCGGTTTTAATAGGCAGATCTAATCTATTTTCTTAACCGACTTCCCAAAAAGAGTGAGGTTCTCAATTCATCGATATGTTTTTTTATGAATAGCCTTTCTTCAGTCATAGGCGTCTCTTGTAAATAAATACTTAGTTGCATTTTAAGAATCAAAATTGAAACAAACTTAGTTACCACGCCATAGACAAAAAGTAGACAAAACCAAATACAAATTAATAATAATTTTATAAACTATGTTTAATAAAACCATCTTTAACTCGTTCGAGTACCGGTTTTGTAGACACAATTATAGAACAATAGGTTGCGGTCACCGGTGACCGCTTGGTGTTTGGTAGTTTAAACCTCCTTCTTTTCTTGAAGTCGCTTAATTGGTACACTGAAACCTTCTTCTATGTGTAACAAACACTTTTATGAACACCGCAAACTTGGTACAGCCAATCACGAAATAACTACGCACAGACATAATACAGGTTAAATTGAGAACCTCCTTTTTGATTTGATTTTGAAGTCGGTTAAAAATGGTGAACAGTGCGTCAGAACACAATTTCGCGATGGTAGTAAGCAGAGATGTCTGATAGGACGTCCTGTGACTGATATGATGATGACGGTGATAGAGTTATTTCGTGTTATATGTTTTCATACCTCTAATTGTGCTATCCGAATCCGATCCAAAACAAAATCTTTTCTGATTTTCACCCAGGGTACTCGTAGTCTTTTTGGTATCACAAATGCAATTGGAAATTAAAAATATTGACAAAACTAAGTATACTCGGAAAGGATATATTTCCTTGCCTTGAAAAACCATTACATACTAAATATCAACAATTTTTTTTCCAAAAAACCCACTGCATCGAAGTGCAATAAGAGTTATCTTATCGGCAGTCGATAAACGAGAAACTATAAAATATAAAATCAGTAACCTAATATGTTACCCATTTATTTATTAACCCGCAAATTGAATACGACCAACTTGTGCCATAAAAGTTTAATCTTGCCAATTATTTATTTTATGTATGTAGCTAGCACATGTACCTATATATAAACTATATTGGCAGTTTGCATGCAGAAGCTGAATTTGTCAGAATGATGGAACCACATACATATTACAAATAAGTTAATAAGTTGCTTCTATATGCTACTTAAATCCCAAGGTAAGTCACAAAGGCTTATTGCTAATTATCCTACAAAATATTTCAGATAATATGTTACCATTTATTCTCATAACTATGCATTAATTTTAGGTTCTTGTCCTTTACAGTACAGTCCTATACGAACAGAAATCGTTTACTAAAAATAATTCAGTTAGACCTATGTAGTAGAGTCTTCTATACTAACATATTTTATTAATAAAATATTTTTTTTTAGTAGAATGAGTGTGATTTATGGCGATGTAACTTTTGAGGTTGTATCGTACTGGGATCCTAAATTGTTTCGTGGTTCTAATTGAACCACCAATGTGGTACATCTATCATAGGTGGCAGTTAAGTTTCTCAATAATAGACGTAAGTATATGTACTCGTATGTAGCTTTAGAGTAAAATAACAAACGTAGTTTTTATCATACTTAACGCAGACTTTATCTTTAAATAGCTGTCGTGCGGTTTCACCCGCTCTGCTCGGTTCCTATTGATCGTAGCGAAACTATCCAACACAAAAAGTATAATTCAATTCAGACCATTAATTTTGGAGATTAGCGCGTTAAAATAAACAAACAAACTTTCGTTTTCGTTACGCATCTGAACACTCGATGATGGTTTTCAAATAACCGCGGTTTTTTTTCAGAAATTTAGGGGGGCACTCACTCGCGATTAACCACACATGGTGTGACGTCAGGGTACTGTTAAAAACGAATGCTAACGAAAACATTTTTCCTCTTTGATCACACGATATTATTCACTAATTTATTATATATTTCAGTCCACAGAAAGATTGCGTTCAACCCGTAGAGCAGTGGTAAATCCTTGTGACATGAGTCGTCACATGTCGTAGTAGATTCACTGATTTGGTTAAGTTTCAGGGATGGTAAAAGGTATACAAGTCGTGAATGTTTTCCTTTCACTCAAAGTGTTGTTTGGTCCCGTGACACAAGTTGCCAGGCATTCCGACCTAGTCTCAAAATTATTTTGATTACCTCCACAGCCAGAGTATAAGCGACGCCTGCATGTCCTAAAAATTGTTTAAGCAATAGTGAATTATGGTTATAGCGAACTTATTGCGTGAACATCGATGTATTGGTATGTAGTTTTATTCTTTTGTATATCAGTTTATGGGTTACAAAATTCTCACTCATGTATAAATCACGTTTAGACATGAGCTGTTAAGTATATTATACCATTAACGAGACTAATAATATAACTCATTCAAACTCAGATTGCAATGAGAGGTGGATTTGTTAAACTAGCATCGCGTCCACTATACAACAATGGACGCGCAACATGTGCATCGTGACACGTTCACTCTTAAGATCCACTCGTTAAGTGCCTTTGGTTGCCTTCCATTTCTAAAAATATAACACTTGATTGGGTGAGTTTAGGCATCGTTCACACCAAACTTACCCATTGCCACCGACTCTCCGTACGCTCACTGTCTGCCCCGGTAGTGTGAACGTGGACTCGGTCTACAGTGCACGTTCTAAACAAGCTGGCAATACGCTATATACAAAAGAATATGCAATCTAATACTTTGTTACGTGAATAGACGCGTAGTACAATAATCACTGAGAGTCAGGAACAATGCACCACGTAATGCGTATAGTTGGTAAACGATATGTTGAATACTTAATAAACTAAAAAGCGAATAACCATGTAACGCGGGCTCACAGTCAGGGGCATGTTTGGTATGAACGATGCCTTACAATACATTTTTTCTTACTAAATCATTAAAAGTAACTTTTAACACATACTTAAATAAGGGATCCCAGCCCCATCTATTGTATTGACCGAAGCAATGTCCGTAATCAAATGCAAGACTGCAGAAATGTGGTATCGGGTCTGCAAAAGACAATTAATAATTATTACTTGTTACTGAGTATCACTTTAAATTAATTGATACGTTTTCGAATTGTTAAATTTTTTGGTGAAAAAGACAATAATCAGTGTTTCTCATTCATAGGTTTGTTTTAAACAATGACATATTTCAAACACAAGCATTCTATAGGTATCTACTTCTTTAGCTTCCGTCAAATTCATGAACCATTCGATCTACCTATTTGTATGTACATGTAATTATCTATAAGTAGTATATTATCAAAAGAAGTTCTAGAAAAACGGAAACAATAACAGTGACTCTAAAGGTATACGGTTAAAATGAGACAATTTTTAAAAGCAAGACGTAGAACACTATTGTATATTGTAGAGCAGGCCTTAAATTATGTAGCATTTTCTTGCCCGCCATATAAATCATTTGGAACTTCTGAAATATTTAAAATAAATCGGTTGGAACTTTGTACTTACTGTTTTGTATGCTCGCATTAACGTAGCAATAATTTAGGCATGCTATTTTACTTGGATATCGGTTCCCGTTCCCTTGGCAACCACCGTAGAAGAAACGGTAACAATTTTCTTGTTTCGCATCAAAATACCAAGATATAATGTCTGCTCGACACGGGCCCGTATCAGGTCGCAATAAACAGGACTTGTGTTTAGCTGAAAATAGACGTAAACAAGTAATGAGGCGTATTGCATTTGCAGAATGCATGCATCCTTCAAAAGCAATAGGCGGTCTACAAATGACAAATGATTGCTTTAGGGCTTAGAAAAAATTAAAAGGGTCCACGATCTGGCAGCGAGAAATCCGCTTATTATTTGTGATTCTGAAGGATGTATAAGACATTCGTCAAATAACGCAACGTGGACTATAGACCAAAGTAGAATCTGTTTCATATCATTACCTAATTACTATTTACTTTTGAGTAATTAAAACTTGACTTGTCCTTAAAACTATTGAATACTTCTCCACCTTCATTGGGTTCTTTAAAGAAGGCCTATGTAATGGCTATGTCGATTTGATCGTGTAACAATTATATTTATGACTATATCTTCGTAAATAATTGCGTTCCAGATTTGTTTTAATTACAGGAGAAATATATCGATATTATCCACCAATAAATGGTTATAGTACAGAAAGCTGTCCAGTAATTAATTTTAATTACAATCGACTCTTTATTAGGTACTCAGTTAGTCGTTCTTATTGATGTTTCGACTGACTGCAGAGAAGCAGAAAAGCACAGCTAGGAAATAATTCAGCATCATTATCAGCATCATTGCTCCTGACAGTATAATTGCTCCTGATAGTCCATTGGTAGACTACGGTAGACTACGGTTTTCTACAAAAGAGGGTTTGCCATGATCTCGATATTTGACAAGTTGAAAGGCGTATAAGATCACTGTTTCACAGATTAAGGCTTATTAGAGAGCGCAAACCCCGGTCTCTGTAAAATGATTAGTTCCTTAATCAGTACCTACGACATCAGGTCCGTGAATAAATAATATAATCTACAATCATTACAAAAAATATAATTATTAAATCAATAATACCTCTAACAGTATTATCCAAATTAATACACATTTGCGAGTTTACTGATCTAGCATTATTAGACGCTACATATTCTTCAACTACCAAAAGTGAAATCACGTGAAGCACTAATACTGTATTTTCTTTTAAATTCATTACAAATTGACATCTAATACACGAGCCCAGGTCACATTGATTTTACTTTCGCTTACGGTACTAACGTTCATTTTAACTGCCTCGCGTATAGCTTTGCGAAATCGACAGTTTGATTTATTTCCTGTTCAATGTTCTCACTTCAATTAATACTTCATTGAAGTAATGTGACTGAATAAATATTTTAAGTTACTCGTAGTTTCACACCAACGTCTATAATATCTAGGGGAAACCGGGTTTGGTTATCTCATGGGTTGGTTGTCAGCAGTCATTTTACAATTGGATCACAGACCAGGCGGTGAAGAATCGTGAAATTCCTCTTCGATGCTGGTTCTTTGATTCCGATCAATGTTGATATTTGATATATGAAGTATATATTTACTGCGTACTTGTCTATACCTATACCTCTGTGACCACCAATCCCGGCCTTTCCTATTCCTCTAATGAAACCTAACCTTTGCGCACTATGTTCATGCACTTTGGGATAAACGGATTTTGCTTGGGATTTGGCCCAGTTGGCATTGTATGTCTGTACAGTTTTCAGAAGTAGAGAAGGCTTATCATAGGTAGTCGTAGATTTTACCGATAATATAGTTAGTCGTCGACAATAAGGTATAGGTACCCCGAGAACGCCGCCTTAGACACTAGCATGAACACGTGACTTGTCGTAATCATCTACATCTATCTATCTACATTAATCCATACTAATATTATAAATGGGAAAGTGTGTCTGTCTGTATGTTTGACTTTCTTTCACGGCAAAACGGAGCGACGAATTAATGTGATTTTTAAGTGGATATAGTTGAAGGGATGGACATATAATATAGCCTATAGCAGTATAAAATAAAATAAATAACGTGTAAAATTCTGTTCCGAGTTCTCTTTTGTGTTCAAGAAAGGAGAACCGTACTACCCCGAATTTAACGCGAGCAAAGCCGCGGGCAAAAGTACATATGAAGCTGAAGAGTTTGTTTGTTTGAATGTGCTTATATCCGGAATTACTGGTTCGATTTCAAAAATACTTTTTGTGTTATATACCTCTAGTCAATTAATAGAGGAAGGCTCTAGGTTATAAAACATCATGCTATGATTAATAGCAAAGCGGGTGAAACCGCGCGGAAATAGCTAATATCTATATATTTAATAAAATCGTAGAAAAGTCAAAACTGTACATTGATTTTTTCTAAAAAGAATACTTGTGCGTGATCTACAATCGATACCGAAGCCAAAAGTATGATTTTTAGAATTTTTGTCTGTTTGTCTGCATGTATGTCCGGGATTATATCCAAAAGTATTGCATGGATTTACTTCTTGCATGAATATTAATAACAGCTCGGGTCAACATATAGGCTATCATCACGCTATCATCTACGAGGGAGGAGCTGTGAATCACAATTCCACGCAAACGAAGTCGCGGGAAACACCTATAAATATAAAGCTGAAGTCTTGTTTGTTTGAATGCGCTAATCTCTGGAACTACTGAATTCGAATTGAATAGGTAATTCTTTTCATATTCGATAGTTCATTTTTGAGGAAAGCTACAAGTTAAGTGAAAAAGTAAACCATCAGGCTACAATTAATATGAGCCGAGCAGCGGGTTCAAGTGTACGGGAGGCTAGTTTAAAATACACCTGAGGCCTTAGTACGAGTTTCTTTTAAGTTTAAAGTAATTGTAACGAGTACGCGTTCGGGGCTCTGATTGGTTGGTTCATTGGAGCCGGCCAATCAGAGTGTCAAACGCGTACTCGTTTCGAATACTTTAAATGTAAATCAAACTCGTACTAAGGCCTCTGTTTTAATCATCTCACTAAATAAATTTCTCATTAATAGTATAGTATCCAAAACTTTATTTTAATATCCGTCTGTTAGATTATTTTCAAAATTTATACACATATTTTTTCTTTTCTAACAAAATGAAATATATTTGACGATATATTGATTTGAAATAGTGTGACGTCATGATTTACTGCATTTAATAGGGTAGCGTGTTTAATACCTACCCTATTAGGTAGTCTAGTAGGATCCTTTAAAGAAAATAAATGTCATTATTAGCCTACAGTGTACCTATCACTAGATAAGTTTGTCTTGACCTCAGTTGCAAGACGTCGTTATACCTAGGCACATTATTATTACCGAAAAGTAATTTAATTCATTTCACAATCCTACCAGTTTTTATAGTGTACATAAAATAGTTCTACTTGCTTCGTATTTTATTATTAAAGCATACTTTCATCTTACGCAAGCACCACTAGTTGAAAAAAATGGACTTGTTGAAGCATTCCATATACTTTGGCGTTTTAATGGTTTTATTTTTCATCCACTATGCCAGTACTGTAAGTAATAATTTATTTTTCAATATATAAACTACAGTAAGAATATGATTATAACCTACAATTAATAGTTTGATCTTGTCGTTTATGTGGAAAAGTGCCATTTAGTCTTTGAGTGTCTCACGCCCAAATACTGAAAGGCTACTAAATTGTTCTACGTAAATAACATCCTATCTCTGTCATTATACAATTTTTGAATTTGTAGTCACAGAACTATACTAAGCGCGACTTAATATTGAGTGGCGTTTGAGTATTTCAGCTTTAAACTCATCTGAGTTCAGATTGAGCACTTTATACAAATTTTTCAAAAGAAAGGTACTTTATGAATATCAATAGTTCAAAGTGACGATAATGAGCGGAGCCTATTGTCATACACGTCATATATTGGCATAATAAAATTCCAAAGCGAAAGTGTATGTCTGTTTGTTTGTCCGTCTTTCACGGCAAAACACAACAATGAATAGACGTAATAATTGTAAGTCAAGATAGTTAAAAGGATGGTGAGTGGCAGGCGCTACTTTTGTTTCTTTCTGCGGAGGTGGAAATTTGTGTGGAGATCAGAAAAATATTGAGAGCGAAACCGCAGACAAAACCTAGTAATAAGATTATAAGATAGATTTCTTCTACGTTATAATAAAATTACATTGTCAAAATACTGCCTGCACTCCTGAACCTGATCTGGCATTCACCGAAACCAGATATTAGTGCCTGTTCGTCTAACTGCCAGTCTACGTCCATGTTACTTTTTAAGTATCTTACATTCATAGCGATCCGTAAAATGGACGCGACCAGGGGGCTTACTCTTGAATCCAATTCCGATCGATCGACATTGACATTGTGAAATTTCGTACTCTTGAGTTGCAACACTAGCGCTCATTGCATCTGTATTGCGTGGATATTGAATGAACTAAAAGGTATTGAGTTTGTCTTTATATTTCGTACCCCGAATGCTATTGTAACAGCTACGATAGTGGTTGTATAGTGTTGACATTGAATAATTATTGAGATTTTATTGGACTGAAATTTCATTGACATTGAGATTGGTTTCAAGAGTAAGCACCCTGGTGTGGGTGAATGCGAACAGGCGAACTTACCCTTTAATACAAAATTAAAGGTTTTTAATATATTATTGACTTTACAATACTAGACTGTGGCCGAGTGGTCGCAATTGCGACTGCCGGGCAAGGGGTCTCGGGTTCGATTCCCGGGACGGGCAAAATACTACTGGGTTTTAAAAAAAATCTCAGTAGTAGCACGGAGTCTGGAATTGTGCCCGGTGTATGGCAATAGGCTCACTACCTATTACATGAGACTCATAACATAAATAGTGAAAAGTGGGTGTTGCACTGGATTTATTTAGCATAGGTACTAGGTACTTACTGCCTCGTTGGCCGAGTGGTTGGAAGGGCGACTGCCGATTCGCGAGTCGGGCAAAGTATCACTGGGTTTTTAAAAAAATTCTCAGTAGTAGCATTGAATGGAATTGTGCCCGGTGTATGGCAATAGGCTCACTTCCTATTACATAGGACTTTTAACATAAATAGTGATAAGTGGGTGTTACATTATAAAATGTACAGTGGCATTAAGTGCCGTAATGTGCACCTCTGCCTATCCCTTCGGGGTTAAAAAGCGTAATGTTATGTCTATATGTATACTAGGTACTTTACTTACTGTTTGTGCTTAAATTATATTAACTTTACCAAATAAGTAGTCGTTTAGACAAAATCTGTATTGCTATAAATTACCTACGGTGCGGTAGGTTACAATAAAACTATAAGTAATACAATTTTCTAGGATCAAAAAATGTTCACAATGAGAACTTAGACTAGATACGTTTATCAGAAACAGGACCAGGTATTATTATCTGGAATATTACCTATGTACCTTTGTCAGCAGTTTGCAGTGCAGTGAGACTTTCCTGCAGTACTCTTTTGGCAGATATTATGGCTAATGTTAAAACTACCCAGTCATTGGTAATTGATATACAGAAACATTCTCAAAAATACATATTTTGTTACCATTCAGGCACCTTGCCGGAAGGCGGTCCATCCGGTTCACCATACAATAAAAACGGTAGTTTTGTTTCAAATGATCTTGGAAAATGTAAACTGAAGGAGCTGGGAGTAGTCCTATAGTAAACACAAATCATTTCAATGTTTGCAAGTCTTTGTTAACCGGGTTCTACACTTCAGTTCATATATTCCAAGAATATTCACAATAGTTACTTAAATAATTATTTCCACCACTCAGGCTACTAACTGGGAAAGCGTAGAAATGCGAGCGAGTGAAGAAGATTCAGACATTGACCAAATACTAAACCATACAAAGTGGATTTATAAAAAACTTAAACCAATTGCGAAAACAGCAATAAAAGGTGTAAGAACAATAAATAACATGGTTATTGCAATTATACCACACCGCATTAAAGACTGGGTTCGGAGTCACGTTCCTGATGATTAATAATAATAAAAATTAGAGTTTTCCAAGTTTTTGCTAGTATTATTGAATTGTTCATTAATACCAATGACTTGAACACTGTTCCCCGTTAGTTGCCTAGTGGTCTATAATATGTCTACCTAAGAGTTACACTAAAGAAGTGTGCAGTAGCGACGCTTTATGAAACAGATTGAAATCCCAACAGAATCTTTGTTCCAGTGTACTGTCTGTGCTGCTCACGGTTCGCATAAGACGGATCTCAAAGAAAAAGTATTTAAATTTGTGCTACCCAAGAGCAAGTTCCTTTATCGTCTGAAAAACCTACCCTCGCCGTATTAGTCTTCTCAACAAAAAGACGACATACAAGAATCTGTTCAATGTCTTCGAAATTTGTTACACACTCTCATAGCCATTTACAGTCCAGTAATAGATCTATATGTTGCATCTGGCAGGCGCAACGAGTTCATAGAAAACGGATTTTACGACGTGCAAATCAAGACTCTCCTATGCAGTTACCAAACAAAAATAATCAAAATTTGCCAAAAATTTTTGATATCATGAATCAGTTAAGCAACAATAATGTTGTTAATGATAAGTTAAGTCGAGGCCTACTTATGCAATTATTATTTAAAACGTTTAACACAACTCCTGCAAAGCCTTGTGTAAAATGTAACAGAAATAGAACATGAATTTCCTTGTCTGTTTGAAGTTTTATTCTGATCCCATTTTATGTCTGTGACCACCGCACCGTCGGGTACTGGTTTTGCTAATAAGCGAAATTGATGTAAAAATACATAGTTACACACGCAAACAACATATATTACGCACATGCACATCACACAACATTTTATTTTCACCGAAATTAGAATTATCTTTTTAATAATTTCATTGTGATAAACAATAATATATTAAGAATTACAACTAGAGAAGTTAAACTAGAGTATGGCGTGATGGTTTTAGATGATGTACGAGTAGATTAAATATGGTTATATAAAATATGAATTCAATATCAATTTATGAAAACCAATTTAACAAGTTTTAATGTTATATTAAGGAACGCATGGCTCATCAAAAAGATGAAAAGAGTCGTGTTTGGAAGATGCCACCGATAGTGCTTCCACCATTACCGAAATTCGAGCAAGCGACACCATCAACGACCGCGTCGACTGTCACCGAGCCGACATTACCGCCGGTAATCCAAAGCATTATTTATCAATTGCACGGTTCTAAAGTTTTAGAAAGCGATGAAGACTACGAACTGTTTTTGAAAAAAATCAAAAGAGATTTTTTCCGAACCACTGCCGACCAGTACACTACCAAAAGTCATACTGGAAAGTGTCCTTTGAAAAACAAAGCACAATAATAAATTATTAAATATTATCTTTACATCTGAAGTTTTGTTTCTCAGTCACTATGAACCTCTGGTTAAAGACTTAGGTTCACATAAATCAAGTACCTACGCCATTTTAGTCAAGTCAAGTGCCGACTGCCATGTCACAGTTATGCGTCGTTTTGCTCTAGAAAATGTGCAGGCATTAAGCTAGCAAGCCGATAGTAAACTGATTATATCTTCCAGTTTATGAGTTTTATTACTTTTATATTTGTGACTTACATATGCGCTTTATTACTCTACGTATATTTGAAAGGTTATTTTGTATTTGCCCTGAAGTGCATAGGGCTTACAACACATTTGCCAAATTTTCCCTCAAGTGTTATAGAATCCGAATAAAGAACTAGGTAGCTAAACACCCAATGGAGATCGTGCAGCAGCACTGTCTAAATATCCTGAACCTTTTACACTGCTATCTTCATCCTAATCGGTAATCGTGGAGATTACGTGAATGTAACGTAACGTAACGTGATCCCACTTATGGGCGGGAGGCCCACCGCCCATAGTTCTACAGGGCAGAATTTATACCTAAGTTAGTATCAAAAAACAGGAAATAATGAAACCTCTTTTCAAATTCTTCATTATTTCAATCTTCGTATCTTTGTCTATGTTTAACATCAAAGTCTGCCAAATATGACAATGAGGTAGTTTTTAAACAACTTCTAAAAATTATAAAAATTTATGTGTACGTAAAAAATTGAAAAAAATTAATCTGACAAGATGACGTCCAGTGAATTTCGACCGTATTTCATCCTAATCAGAAAGGAGGAGGAGAAGGGAGATAAATTCGCTAAAATAAACATGGAAGTCAAACATCATGGCATGTCTGAATCTATGAATCCATTTATCAAGAAGACTGTGAGCACTCAAACGTACCCGACCAAGTTGATCCCAGCCGCACCCAGGAAGGCTTGCTGCTTCTACTGCTCCTGATAATAAGATGATAACGACATTTTCCCTATACAACGTTCAAAGTCGACCCACAGAGTCGACAGTAAAAAAAATTAGGCCACTAATTAACCTGCTGAGTATCTTCTGGGCCAAATGCTTTGGGAACCTTCTCGGAGTATCGTTGAGGCTCGTATGCTGCCATAAAATATCTACCAACGTTTATATATTTGGTCTCCAAAGTGCCCGAATTTTGTCTCACTTCATACCTCTGGATCTCACAGATTTGGAAGAACCACGTAAACCTAAATCTAACCTGCCTTCTGTACCGGACGCTGGACCCAATATTAAATAAAGTTGACAAATGAAATCGTTATTATTTATTACGTGAGTGTGGTATCTATTACATATTTCCTATTATTTTGTATTCCCGTACTAAAATAATAAATGATTTTAGAATTTGTTAAAAAGTGACGTGTGGGATACCTACTTGATGTATAATATCTTGGACACAGAGCGATAACATGAGATCATTGTGATACAAAATACTGTTGCTATCCTCCGCATCGATTTTAAAGATTCTTATGTAATTTCAGATAGCACAGCCGACATTTGACGTCTTAGAACAGAAATGAGTGTATGAAGAGGCTGAGAAGAGTGTGTTTTAGAGCATATCGTGCTTATAGAGATAAATTGATACTAAACAGAGAGGAGGATGACCAAAAATTGGTCCGTCACGTCTGTTACCATTAAGGTCTGTCTTGGAGCACATACACAACAAAATTATTTTACTGACTGTTTTGATTATTAATTAAAAATTAAATGATTTAAATATAACGTAATTGATTTACTGTTGAGTTCAATTGGCCGAGACTGATTATTATTTAAAGGCAACAAGTATAATTACAGAAATCATCACTTTATCAACAACACGGGTAAGTAACAGTTAATATGTTTCATTAATAAGATAACAATCTTAATTAGGATTTAGGCCAATATAAGGCGTAGATATTGAAACAATTGATAAATACTAGAACAAATTCCTTGTATCATGCATTGATATTTGCTTAAGCAAACCAAAGTTAATTATGACGCCATGACTTTATACGTACTAGGCGGTCTTTGGGAGAGAATTGCATAGATAACTCGAAATCAATTACGAACGTTGAATGACTAGGCATGTCATTCGAATACACTGCCGCAATATGACTTTTGAATATTTTGCAAATCATCGTTGACCAGACTACGTCATCAAAAGCGTTATGTCCGCGTCATGCAATGTAAAAAACGGTCCGAATGAGCCGTAGGTAGGTATAAGTACAATATATACGTCTTGTCGTGTCACATCACGATTAGAAACAATTAGATACACGTAGAGAAGCCATGCGTTTTTTCCATTGTTAATATTCATAATTTTTCCGGACGAAGTTACCTGTGTCATCGATGTAGTTTCAGTTAGAAATCAATTCTTTAAGACACACGATAAAAATAGTCACAATTTAACTTTACCTTCAAAAATTTGCAAACTACAGATAAAAGATCACGTCAGTGATTGGTGTGGTGACTATTTATTTGTACTGTTAATAATATTGTGCAAGTCTAGTAATACCTGTGTAAGCAAACTTCTTGTCAAAGTGTTCATCAACTAGATGCCACCGTTCAAGTAACAAAGTGCCGAGTACTTACCTTATCTCCTCTCGTTAAAGTCTACAATGGATTGTTCATCAAGATTTACTTTGGCATCATCTTCGTTCTGTGGTCTGTGAACGTGTCGGTACCTGTGAAGGTATCGCGAGTATATAGTCCGTAGTTATCATTCGCGTTATCGTGTTATCAAACTGCACTGTAGGTCGTCGCCAATTATGTCGTGATTTATATAGTTTTAAATTATTAATTCAACACAATGGAGTTAGAAGACATCGTGGAAAATCAAAATCTACTGAAGAAAGGCAGAAAAATAAAGGTACGTCAATAGAACATTTGATTTTATTCGTTACAACGTAAGCATTAAAAATAAAGAGGTTATATTTTAATTTGTGAATTGTACTGGTTTACCATAATTTCACAAATGGAGAATGAAAAAATATATTCAATGAAAAGAAAATCTACAATTTATAACAGTTTCCTTATTTTTAAGTCAAATTTTTACGCTAATGTTTAAAAATTACTTTGGCAGGCGAGAGCCAATTGTAAGAATTTCAGGGTTGTCAAATTGCCAGTTGGTCATGAAATGAAGGCATTAACAATAACAACTATTTTACAAAATAATATTTCAATGATTTCTGTTCATATCCCAAACTACTTGGTTTGGTACAATAATGGCTTCTCTTTCTATTTTCGCCTATCACAATCTGCTTGCCCTTTCGTTTCAATCTTTCACTAATTTTATTACAATTTCTGTGATTGTTCTTTCTATCCTTCTACATTTTGGTACTCGGTCTATCACATGATTTATATCCCTTGTGGATACATGTCTATAAGACTCGTAAAAGCAGATAACACATCTGCCAAAGACGTTGAAAAATATGATCTGCATTAAACTGATGGAAATGAAATGGTGCAAACTCCTCTATCAGTATCCAGACAGCCAAGTCTACATTTACCTTTTTATATTATGTATTTAGTTCTTAAAAACCATAACAATTTGAGCGAAAAGTTGTCATACCTCGCTACACGTATAAATGGCCCTGCTTTGTCATAATTTCGTAAATAGCATCAGAAGGCCGCTACTAACAAAGCGATAATTATACAAAGAACGTTATCAAAATCATAACACTCTGTATTTTACTTATTTACTATTATGTTTTATTGCAATTTTAACAAGTGTTTGTTATTTTATCAGTACGATAAGCCCTGAGCCCCTTGAAGCTTCGTTTTTCCTTGAGACTGTGAAGACAATAGGTAGTCAAGATAGACCCAGGGCCTGTATATATATAGAAGTATAATCGGATGCATCTATAAGCTGCCCCCACCAATGACTAGGTTTGGACCCCACAAGGGATGCCCGCAGAGTTGACAGACCTAGGGTATATAAGTATAATCGGATGCCGCATTTATATGCTGTCTCCACCAATGACTAGGTTCGAACCCCACAAGGGGTTCAGAGTCGCGGCAATTTAACTTATAAAAGACTTTGTTGCCCCGGGGTGAGGGCTTGAACATAAATCCTACTACTGCAAGGGTTTTTCCGGTTCAATTTGTTGTAAGTACACAGACATAGTATTTTCGGTGGTCACATACCTTCAAAAAAACACCAAGATTCTATACAGACGTGAGACGAGAGACTTTTGTCCGGCGGGTTAACTGTCTCTCGGGGTACTCAAAATCCTCGTCGTGAGATATTTGATGTAATTTCTATTGATAAAAATTATTCGTACTGTAGTTGGGTCAAGTTATTGATTGATCTTTTTCACAATCTAGAATTGATTATCCGGTAAACACAAAAAACCCTTGAGGGACTTGTCTGCAAACCTTGTAAAGAGATTGCCTAGCTGTACCTTACAAACGAAGGTTTTGACCGATATTCATCAGCACTAATGTCGAAAATCGATCGCAATTCTTGGGTTAAGCTAGATCGACGTCATATACAAGTGACGTCGGTGATCGTATGCCTCGTAGACCTTCATATTTAGATAAATGTCACATACTTAGCCAATCACTCCAGACTAGACCTATTCCATTGTCTTTCGATTAACGATACGAAACCTACTTACTTTGTATATGATTGATATGTTTTACAGTCCATATATGAGTTTTAAAAGCCTGAAAAGTGCATAACGTAGTTTTCAGAGTATAGTTTTTTCCACCAATACATAGATCTTATTTTATAACATTACAAATATTAGCTTGGTTTTTGTTCTCAAATCGCATGTAATTTGAGTCTTAAAACATATTAATTTACCAGCTAGTCCATCTGCAATCCTGTAAATGATACTATACCGGATTTACCCTTTTGGAGGGGCAAAATAAGTTAATGACTTTGCCCACCTTCACATTCTTACTGACTAAAAGCTACCCCCAAACATAACAACAGATTTTAACACGAAATCTCCGAATCGATCTAAATTGACCGAAACTCCTTACAAGTAATGTCAAAAGTTTTGAATTAAGATAGTACTCCTCTTAAACCCAGTCTGAACCACTAGTATATTGTGTAATACCTCTAGGCAGTATATTATACAGTTACTTAGGTACCTATATACGTTCAGATTCCGACTGTCATGTAAAGGAGATCATTTCGGCTCCATATATTTTGCAGAAAGTGGCGACCAACGAAAAATAGTGGTAAGTATCGTTAGAACTAGGGTATACCCCATAATCATTGCTCCAAATGGCTGCAATGCAACTTATAAGTTGTAGGATTCAAGGTGAAGACGTTATTTCGAAGATTCTTTATATTTAACCGACTTCCAAAAAACGGCGGCGGTTGTCAATTTGTCTGCATGCTCTTATTGTGTATGTTACGCGACTATCATACATTTTACTTTCTAAAGGTGTTAGGAAACGCAAAATATTGATCAATATTGCTAGAATAAAGAATCTGAGGCAATTGTGATGATCATGCGAAACGTTTTCGCAGTCGTTTTTGTTTTTTCGTTTTGTTAAGCATATCTCAATATATATCAAATGACTTCTTTCGTTGGGGGAAGTAGGAGCAACTGCCAGTCCATTAACTACAACTATAAAGTACCTCGTTCCAACTCCTACTCTGTGCCGGGGCCTCGGTAGCTATATGACGATCTACCCTCGACCTCGGATAGGTATAGTCCTCTAAGTATCATATTATAATCTTACGATTTCATATTCCAGACTAAGGTCCAGGACACGGTACCGGGAAACGTATGTCCTAATAACGTGCAAAAGCAAAACCTATATACCTCACAATGGTCATGGTGTCTGACCAACGCCCTATTGTCCGTTATAATTGGGAATAGCTAGTCTTCTAGCTGTGTTAGAGCTGCTCATCAGCTGCAATGCACTATACGTATATATGTAGAGGTACTATACGATTTTGACACAATATGGCTAAATTGAATACAGCCTCGTATTGCGAAAAGATCTTGTCCGGACGTACTTCTACCACAAGGATATTTCCACAGAGATTCTGAGCGTATAAATGAATACTTGCTACTCTTTTACGAAAAGCTTCAGAACGAATCGAAATATGCATTAAATTCACATACGGAAGTGGAAACTATTTCGTTTTCATGTCCTCTAATAATATCTTCTGCATTATTTCGTTGAGATCCAGACAGTTATTCATATCCCTGGTACGCGCCGCACTGCGGTGTTTCGCTACTGTAGACCCTTGCATATAAGAGGTTGCGGCTATTTTTGGTGGTTGTGACGAAAAATGGGTTACTTTTAACGTAAAGAGCACTAGGGAAGATACTTTTTTAAAGGGACAAGCCGACCACAACCTCCCAAAACAGCTGCAACTCCTGTAAGCCAGGATCTATAGTAGATACAACCATGAAAACACTGGAACATTGAAGTCTGGCGCGTCCCAGGTACATCAATAACTGTCTTGGTTCCCGTAACGAAGTGAATCAGATGATATTATAAGAGGAGAAGAAAAAAACGATAGTTTCCACTTCCCTCGGTGAATTATGCAGGAGACAGAGTGAATTAAGCCTAAAGGCACAAAGAAAATCGACTGTGTACAACTGGGTGAAGCCCAGTCGCCAAACAGGGAAGACACTGCCAAAAGGTACTATTATATATTTTGTCATTATCAAGAATCACTTACCTAATCTAATTTAAAAAAAGTAAAAAACCCAATCACAACCTAATGGAATTTTAAAACATCAATATCAAAATGAACTACTAAGTGAATATTAATTAAAAACTAAATTAATTCACAAGACGACAATAGTTTATTAAAAGTGTCAATTTTGTCGTACAATGCATATACGACTACAGATCAAGTTATACATTTAAACTAACCGTCGAATGTGTGAAAACTTTTTCTTTAGGTCCTTAGGGAATGCAAATGTCGCGCGATTGAGACTAGGCGAGATCCCGCGTTATTACAAAATACAGTCTTGCTATATAAAATACGAGATTGGCAGATTACTATTTTTTTTTTGGAATGAATCATAATATTTAATAAATAGATAAACATTTATACTCACGACTGTTTTCTCGGAATTGAAAAAGAATTCAGGATGGAGACAGAAGCTAGTTTTTTTAATGAATTTTAAGTAGTTTACCAGGTACTTCTTCTTTGACGTACGTAACTATCAAATAACAAATAAAAGAATACACAATATAGTGCTCTCTTCTAATATCAAACAATAATTCTTTAGTAAAGCAATCTCAATAATCCGGCTCGAAGGACCATGTAGAATTTGATAGTAGGTTAAATGATACGACAGTTATAAAACGTATATAATAACCAGACCAAAGGTTTATGAGTGTTACAAAGGAGCGAGGGAGCACACGCGATGACCGATAGTAGTGTACTGAATGCTCGACTAATATTAACACGTTAACCGCCACGTAGATCATCAGTGACCTATGTTAGCGGAGGATTTGCCTTCAGCAGTTTTCTGTCGGCAGTCAAAGGCTTAAACTGTCAAACACCAAGCGGTCACTGGTGACTGCAACCTATTGTTCTATAATTGTGTCTACAAAACCGGTACTCGACGAGTCAATTAATGAAGTAAGGTAAAATGCACGGATAAGCATGTGCATTACCAGTGTATGATTCCACCACACAGTCCATTTTTCGACCGAGATTAATCTCGCTAAAAACGGTCAAGATTATGTAATCTTACATTACTACTCGTCCTTTATCGTCCGAAATGATTTTCTTCTTCAATGGTCTTCAAATGTGGCTGTAGTTTTAGGCAATATGTGTCTTCGACCTGTCATAATAAACTGCACGGTTGGCGCAGTGACTAGGTAACCGGCTGCATTGTAACATGTCGCGGGTACAATCCCGCACGAATCATTCTCTGC